CCAGGCTGGAGTGCAGTGGCCGGATCTCAGCTCACTGCAAGCTCCGCCTCCCGGGTTTACGCCATTCTCCCACCTCAGCCTCCCAAGTAGCTGGGACTACAGGCCCCCACCACCACACCCTGCTAATTTTGTTTTTGTATTTTTAGTAGAGATGGGCTTTCACCGTGTTAGCCAAGATGGTCTTGATCTACTCACCTTGCGATCCACCAGCCTCTGCCTCCCAAGGTGCTGGGATTACAAGCATGAGCCACCGCATCCCACCTTCCTATACCACTTTTTGAAAATACTTTCCTTTTTTCATTGGCTTCCCTTTGTAGTTTTCCAAATATCAATCAATGATATTTGTTTTGGTCTATGCATACACTTCTTTTTTTTTTGAGACAGTTTTGCTGTGACGCCCAGGATGGAGTGCTGTGGCGTGATCTTGGCTCACTGCAACCTCCGCCTCCTGAGTTCGTGCAATTCTCATGCTTTAGCCTCCTGAGTAGCTGGGATTACAGGCCCATCACCATGCCTGGCTAATTTTTGTATTTTCAGTAGAGATGGGGTTTCGCCATGTTGGCCAGGCTGGTCTCAAACTCCTGGCCTCAAGAGATCCACCTGCCTCCGTGTCCCAAATTGCTGAGTTTACAGGCGTAAGCCACCACACCCAGCCTCATTTGTTCATACAGTGTATTATATAGAATTTATGTTTTTGTCTATTTTTTGTGCATTACCTCAGTGTCTTAGTTCCCTTACAGTATTTTTTGAAATCTAGTAGCGTAGGCTCTCCACCTTTGTTCTTTTAGAGTAATTTTGGCTATTTTAATTCCTTTCCTTTTCCTTATAAATTTTATAATCAACTTATTGATTTACCAGAAAAAAATCGTTTTGAGTGAGATTGCATCATTCTGTAGATCAGTTTGGGCAGATGTATTGCTTATTTGGCTATGTCAGAGAATACAGTTAGTTTTATTTCTTCCTTTCCTATGCATATGTCTCATGGGGTTCCCCTCCCCGCTCCAGTTGTACTTTTTTGGACTTCCAGTATGCTGTTGAGTACATATGGTAAAAGTTACTCTTCCTTCTTTTTCTCAATCTTAGTATCTTATGAAACATTGTTTTTCATAATTAGATATGTTACTAGCTGGAGCTCTTTTTTAGATACGTGATAGTAAGTTGAGGAAGTTCCAGTTTGTTTCTAACTTGCTGAGACATTTAAAAAATTATGAATGTCTCTAGATTTTGTTAGATGTTTCCCTGCATCTGTTGAAATGATCATAGATTGTTTCTTCTTTCATCTGTTCATACGTTGAAGTATATTGGTGTTTTCTAAAGAGTTGGGATCTCACAATGTTGCCCAGGCTGACCTTCATTTCCTGAGTTCAAGCAAGCTTTCAGTCTCATTCTGTTCTTAGCTGGCCCAATCGGCATATGCCACTACACCAAGTTTTTTTTTTTTTTTTTTTAAACTGTCAGTTAATGTGCATTCTCAAGATAGACACCCTTGGTCATAACATATCAATCTGTTTATAACTTGCTGAATTTATTCTCTGAAAGAGGTTGTGTAATATGTGTATTGTCACTTACGTATTTGGTAGCATTTGCCATTGAAGCATCCTGTGGCTGGAGTTTTCTTTGCCCCCAAAATTTTCAACTTATTTTCTAGGTCTTGGATTATTCAGGTTTTCTCTTCTTGAGTGAGCCTTGGTAATTTTGTGAAGGAAGTATTCCTTTACATTGTTGAATTTGTTAGTTGAAATATGTATTTATTAATGTTTATAGGATCTATAGTGAATTTACTTCCTTTATTTCTGATGTTGGTAATTTTTATCTTTTTTGGGGGTCATTCTGGCTAGAAGTTCATCAATATTATTTTCAAAAAAAGCAGCTTATAGATATTTTTTCCTTTCTACTTTCTTTGAATTTAATTTGATCTTTCTGGCTTAGATAATTGATTTTAGACCTTTCTTCTTTTCTAGACCTTTCTTCTTTTCTAATACAAGCGTTTGACAATGTCAGAATTGGCCTGTATAGACTACTTACATTTAATGTAATTATTGACATGCTGGATTAAAATTTATCATTTTACCAGTTTTCTATTTATTTCATCTATTTTTGATTCCTTTTAAAAAATCTTTTTCTGTTGACTTTGAATTAAGCAACTTTTAAAATAATTTCATTTCCATTCTTATTTATAACTGAATTTTTTATTTATTTATTTTTGAGACAGCATTGGTTTGCTCTGTCGCGCAGATTGGATCATAGTGGTGCAATCTTGACTCTCTGCAACCTCCACCTTCTGGGTTCAAGCGATTTTCATGCCTTAACTTCTAGAGTAGCTGGGATTACAGGCTCCAGCTATGCTACCACACAGGGCTAATTTTTGTGTATTTTGTAGATGGGGTTTCACCAGGTTGACCAGGCTAGTCTCCACCTCCTGAGCTCAAGCAATCCACCTGGGTTACTGTCATTATAGGCGTGAGCCACTGTACCTGGCCTGTAACCGATAATTTTTCATATTAGTTGTCCTAGCTTTACAAGATATACCTTTATTTAATCACATTCTATTTTCAAATATTATTCCACTCATGTGTAATGTCAGAACTTAACAGTGTAGTTTCAATTCCTTTCTTCCATCTTTTGTGACATAGTAGTTGTGTTTTTACTGTTTATATATGCTATAAACACGCAATACTGTGCAGCCTTTTATGTATTTATATATTGCTTTGTTTTAGGCAGGCTTTTTTTGTTTGCTTGTTTGGTTTTTGAAATAGATTTTGGCTCTGTCACCCACGCTGTAGTGCAGTGGCGTGATCGCGACTCCCTGCAACCTCCGCCTCCTGGGTTCCTGCAATTCTCATGCTTCAGCCTCCTCAGTAGCTGGGATTACAGGCCCATCACCATGCCTGGCTAATTTTTGTATTTTCAGTAGAGATGGGGTTTTGCCATGTTAGCCAGGCAGGTCTCAAACTCAAAAGCTATTCTTTTGCCTTAATCTCCTGAGTAGCTGCAATTAACAGTCACACGCCACCATGCCCGGCTAATTTTTGTATTTTTAGTAACAATGAGGTTTCACCATGTTGGCCAGGCCGGTCTCGAACTTCTGGCCTCAAGTGATCTGCCTGCATGGGGCTCCCAAAGTGATGGGATTACAGGCATGAGTCATTGCATCTGGCCTAATTTGTCTTTTTCTTGCTGTTAGACTGAGGGTGATGCTCTTTTCAGCATTCTGTATCTTAGGCATAAGCAGAATTTGAAGAGCATTCAATTTTGATACATAAGAATAATTTGAATCTTAATTTTTATGTGTCATTATCAGTAGGGAATGTTTACAATAGCATTATTTGAGAATGGAAAAAATTATAACTCATTTCATTATAAGAAGTGCCTTGTGATTTTGAAGTGTTTTTTTCTGTAGCTTCAAAATCACTTCCGTATATACTTGTCCCTTAGTTTTGTATTTGGAAGGAAGGTTGTTTTTGAGTGTGTCTAAAATGGAGTCAAGAACAAGAATTCCAAAAGAGATGGAAACTATTATCTACCTAATGAAATAGTGAATACCAAGAACTTGTTTAACTTCCTTATATTGTGATAAGTTACTGCTTTCAGAACTACTTAAAATCGTTTAATTTTTAATCCTCTCTCTTATAGTATCTCTCTCTCTCTGTCTCTCTGCAGGGGTGCTTTCCAGACAGGCCAAGGACCTCTTGATGCCCAAGTGAAGCTCTTAGAATTCACTCTGGAGCAGAATTTTGAAGTCGTTTCAGTTAGTACTATTTCTGCTGTGATAGAATCTGTTACATTTTTAGTGCATCACTATATCACTTGCTCAGACAAAGTAATGTCAAGAAGTGGATCAGATAGCTCCGTGGGTGCTCGAGCATGCTTTGGGGGACTCTTTGCCAACCTGATTCGTCCAGGTGATGCAAAAGCAGTTTGTGGCGAAATGACAAGGGATCAACTCATGTTTGATTTGTTAAAACTTGTTAACATTTTAGTGCAGCTGCCTCTTTCAGGCAATAGGGAATACAGTGCAAGAGTGTCTGTGACCACAAATACAACAGATAGTGTTTCAGATGAAGAAAAAGTCTCAGGAGGCAAAGATGGCAATGGAAGCAGTACCAGTGTTCAAGGATCGCCTGCATATGTTGCTGACTTAGTCTTAGCCAACCAACAAATTATGAGCCAGATTTTGTCTGCTCTGGGCCTGTGTAATAGCAGTGCCATGGCAATGATAATTGGTATGTATTGAGAATATTAATCTTACCGTTGTCTCTGGTACTATAATTGTTTTTTTTTGTAAGCAATATATGGATTCATTCTCTTTTTACTTTGTAGTGTAAAACTGCTTTAAGCTTTTCATGACTGATTTTTATTGGTGTGAGGACTTTTGTATAGGGGCTTCAATTAATGAATTAAAGTGAAATATTGAAAAATGTTATGTCAATTTGGTTTTTTTTTTTTCTTTTTTATTGAGATGCCTCCCAGGTTCAAGCAATTCTCATGCCTCAGCCACCCAAGTAGCTGCAACCATAGGTGCTTGCCACTACACCGGCTAATTTTTTTTCTTCCCTTCCACAAGACAGAGTCTTGCTCCCAGGCTAGAGTACAATGATGCGATCTCAGCTCACTGTAACCTCTGCCTCCCAGATTCAAGTGATACTCCTGCCTCAGCCTACTGAGTAGTTGGGATTACAGGCGTGTACCACCATGCCCCTCCTGGTTTTTTTGTTTGTTTTTGTTTTTTTTTTGAGATGAAGTCTTGCTGTGTTGCCCAGGCTGAAGTGCAGTGGCGTGATCTCGGTTCATTGCAACCTCCACCTCCTAGGTTCAGGCAATTCTTGTGCCTCAGCCTTTCGAGTACCTGGGATTACAGGCATGTGCCACCATGCCTGGCTAATTTTTTGTATTTTGGTAGAGATGGGGTTTCGCCATGTTGGGCAAGCTGGTCTCTAACTCCTGACTTCAGGTGATCTTCCCACCTCAGCCTCCCAAAGTACTAGGATTACAGGTGTGAGCCACTGCACCCTGCTAATTTTTTTTTTTTTTTGTAGAGACGGGATTTCACCATGTTAGCCAGGCTGATCTTGAGTTCTTATTTCACATCATTTTGTGTTAAAGACAAGTATTATTTGTTCACATTTGCTTTGAAAATAAAATGTAAAATTTTATTCATACTGTAACATTTTCTGTGACACATATCAGTGTTAAATTTATATGCTGTTGCTTAACTTTTTTACCTCTTTGAATGTTAATACATTACATTAAATTTTTAAAATAATTGAACATCTGTATACTGTGGCAAAATCCATTTCTAATATATTTTTACCTGGTGGTATATTTTTCTTTGTCAGTGTATGGGAAACAGCCATATCTTCCTTTTGATTAGATTAAAAAGAATAGTTACATGCTGGTTTTACTTATTTTTCTGTTTATGTCCTCTCTTGACGTATATAGCTAGTATGTAGAGTGATGTTCTCAGTCATGTAACAGAACAACCTATTTTTATTGTTGGTGATATAGAGGTATCTCATGTAAGAAGCTAGCCATAAACCATGCTCTACTGAATATTGTCATTGATATTTTAGTCTCCAGGAGTCCGTTCGGGTTATGTGTAGAGGGTATAAACAGCTGTTATATGTTAATTCTTCAGCAGTTTTGGAAAAAATGGCTTTTCAGCTTCTATATTTTAATTATTATTTGTTTTCACCATGTTGGCCAGGCTGGTTTTGAACTCCTGATGTCAGGTGATCCACCTGCCTCAGCCTCCCAAAGTGTTGAGATTACAGGCGTGAGCCACTACGCCTGGCTGGATATATATACTTTTAATCTTTTAATGTGGAATCTTTTATTTTTCCTAGGAGCAAGTGGATTACATCTCACTAAACATGAAAACTTTCATGGTGGGTTGGATGCTATATCAGTTGGGGATGGATTATTTACCATACTGACAACCCTTAGTAAAAAAGCTTCTACAGTCCACATGATGCTGCAACCAATTTTAACATACATGGCCTGTGGATATATGGGCAGACAAGTAAGTTCAAGCCAACAACAGTTGCAGTGATTCAAATAAATTTCTGGCAATGTAAGTGGAAAATTATAGCACAGAGACAAATAAGTGTATTTATTATATATTGGACAGTGAAAAGCATCAGTGCAAGAGGGCTATGGATTATTAATAAAAGTTGGAGAATAAAGTTTCTTTGAAGTGGTATTTTCAGAGATGACCACAGTAATACAAGAGTAAAACATTTATTGTGTCTCAAGAAGTTCTTCTCTTTTTCCTAAAAATAGCATAGTGTAATACTGAGGTGTTCTCCATAGATGTTACGTAAGGAGATGTAATGTGAAATTTTTTGAAATTTATGTTGTGTATTCAACTTTTTTTTTTCCCCCTTTAAAAGAGATTAGGCTAATTAAAGAAAATAGGTTACAAAATTTTTCCTTTTTGTATTTCGTTTTTACAAATGAAATTATAGGAATCAGATTATTTTACTTTCTTGTCCATTTCCCATTTTGAAATGCAGATATTAGAACAATTTTTGTTGTCTTCTATATAGCAGTGTATAATTATCATTTTTGTAAACATTTGTTGAATGTGTATATTTCTCTATTAGAAAATACAAAGGTACTTTAGATGGTTAAAATTTTAAATGAAATTGGTATCTAAATGCACATAAAGGGAAAAGATAATGGATGAAGACAGATGCTTTAAAAAATTAAAATCTGAGTTGAGGAAGATGGTTTTTTCTTATTCAGGTAAGATTTCTTATGTATTTTGGCAGACATTTTGTATTTAGTGTATTTAAGGCTGTCAGGTTACAAAAATTAACTAGAAAGGAATATTACATGCACTGAGTTTAGTTCTTATTCGCAGGAGTGTATAAAGTCATAATACACATATTTCATTTTTTAGGGCTCTCTTGCTACTTGCCAGTTATCTGAGCCATTATTGTGGTTCATTTTGAGAGTATTGGATACTAGTGATGCCTTGAAAGCATTTCATGATATGGGTAAGCTAATATTTCAGTAACTATCATTTAAGTGTAGTTATGTGATAGTATGTTACATTTTCATTTTTGTAGTCTTTTGTGGAAGTTTACTTTTGATGTTGAACCATCTGTCCTGATATTGATTTCATTACTTATTCTTTATAATTTAGGTGGTGTTCAGCTCATATGCAATAATATGGTCACTAGTACAAGGGCTATTGTGAACACTGCAAGAAGTATGGTATCAACTATTATGAAATTTCTTGACTCTGGTCCAAATAAAGCTGTTGACAGCACATTGAAAACAAGAATACTAGCTTCTGAGCCTGACAATGCTGAAGGGATTCATAACTTTGCACCCCTTGGTAAGAAAAGTGTTATTAAATCTTATGTGAATTTATTCAGTTTATTAGCTGGTATGAAACAAAATTAGTTGAAGTCAGTTAATGATATCATATATTGCTATTTTAATTACAAACAGTTTATTTTAGAGGTAGTGGATAGCTCGGCATTCTACTTACGAGAGGGAATTTTGTATTTGTTTTGAGATGGAGTTTTGCTCTTGTTGCCCAAGCCAGAGTGCAATGGCACGATCTCGGCTCACTGCAACCTCCGCCTCCTGGGTTCGAGCAATTCTCCTCCCTCAGCCTCCTGAGTAGCTGGGATTACAAGTGTCTGCCACCATGCCCAGCTAATTTTTGTGTTTTTAATGGAGATAGGGTTTCGCCATATTGACCAGGCTGGTCTCAAATGCCTGACCTTAGGTGATCCGCCCACCTCAGCCTCCCAAAGTGCTGGAATTACGGGCTTGAGCCACCACGCCTGGCCGAGAGGGACTGTTTTAACAGTTCTTTAGCAGTAAAGTTTGTTTTTATTTGTGAGTCAAAATAGAAGCACAATTTAAGAAACTAAATAGAGATTCTTCAGTAAGTTTTCTCTGTAAATGTTAATCGATTTTAAATCTCATTTTCCTTCTTAAAGTGGTACTATGTTTTGTTTTGTTTTGTTGTGAGAGAGTCTCACTCTGTCACCTAGGCTGGAGTGCAGTGGCGCAATGTCTGTTCACTGCAACATCTGTCTCCCGGGTTCAGGCAATTCTCATGCCTCAGCCTCCTGAGTAGCTAGGATTACGGACATGTGCCACCACACTGGCTGTGTGTGTGTGTGTGTGTGTGTGTGTGTGTGTGTGTGTTTAGTAGAGACGGGGTTTCACTGTGTTAGCCAGGATGGTCTCGATCTCGTGTGTGTGTGTGTGTGTGTGTGTGTTTAGTAGAGACGGGGTTTCACCATGTGGTCTTGAACTTCTGGCCCCAAGTGATCCCCCACTTCGGCCTCCCAAAGTGTTGGGATTACAGGTGTGAGCCACTGTGCCTGGCCTTAAAGTGGTACTATCTTTTTTAAAAGTTTTGAATTTAGGTATTTACTTTTTTATCCAGTTTACGTAGTTTCTTTTTAATTTTTCTTTTCATATTTCTAAATCATAGACATTGACATCTTAGAATAAAGATGATTATTTTAAAGGTGGAGATATATTGGACATTGTTTTTTACTTAGTTAGAAAATTATGGAGCTATGTTTATTGCTGTATCTTTAGTTTTCATGTATCGTATGAGTATAAAGTAGACAGCAGTTAATAATGAACTTGTCACCTTGCCAGTTGACAGGATTTCCTAATGTTTTGTGAATACCTCTACAGTCATGCTTAGGATACTAAGTACATTACCAGCATCAGTTGTTCATGTTTTCAATTAATTTTTCTAGTTTAATTTTATTCATATAGATTTTAAAGCTTTGTTATGTTTCTTTTACAAGTTCTTATTTTATGTAAAATATCTTCTCTAGGTACAATCACATCTAGCAGTCCTACTGCCCAGCCAGCTGAAGTGCTATTGCAGGCCACACCTCCTCATAGAAGAGCTCGCTCTGCTGCTTGGTCCTACATCTTTCTTCCAGAGGAGGCTTGGTGTGACCTTACCATTCACCTTCCCGCAGCAGTGCTGCTTAAGGAGATACATATCCAGCCTCATCTTGCATCTCTTGCAAGTGAGTAATATTTTATAAAGAAGCAACATGAGAGCAGACTTTAATTTAGAAACATTTGAAAATAAAAATATTTAGTAAGCAGAAATACACTTAGGTGTGATTACCAGAGTGTGTAACTTCTGAACAGTTTTTAGTGAAATAATTAATACTACCAAGTCATTTTAGTGGAAATGACTGTTAACCTCAGACAAAAAGATTATGTGATGAAGTCTAAACAAATATGTTCCAGTTATATATTATTTTGCTTTCTCTTTTCTCTCAAATTTACTAAGCCTCAGTATTAAGCTGAAATGAGTTTATTACACTCCCATTTTTTACCATGTTAGTTTTTTCAGCCCGGATCTCAGTCCTAGCCTTGTAATATGAAATTAGCATAGATTTGTGTGCCTGCCCTCCAACTTCTTTAGAAGATAACTATCTTTTTGAATAATACTATATTTTGACTACTTCAGTGTGATTTTAAGATTCATACTGTGTTTGTTGTAATATGTCAGTATCCTTGTAATGTTGTATTGTTTATTTGATGCATGTTCATTGAATACATTTTATTGAACTTTGTAAGGCAAATAATTCAAAATAATTTTTACAAAATATTATCACTTAAGAGCACGAACTCTTTCAGGTATTTATAAAGAATATGAAATAGTCATTTGCTTTTTTTTTTTTTGAGGCAAGGTCTCTGTTACACATGCTGGAGTGCAGTTTTGATATCTCAGATCACTGTAGCCTTGACCTCTGAGGCTCAAATGATCCTCCCATCTCAGCCTCATGTATAGCTGGGACTACAGGCGTGTACCACCATGCCTGGCTAAATTTTTGTGTTTTTTTGTAGAGACGGGGTTTTGTTATGATGCCTGGGCTGAAGCGATCTATTTGCCTTGGCCTCCCAAAGTGCTGAGATTACAGGTGTGAGCTACTGTACCCAGCCCATTTTGTATTTTATATGGTTCACAAATGCTTTCAATATAGTTATAATTTTGCCAGAATTGTTTAAATTAATACATATGCTTACATTTATGGATTGATTCTCATTGCTATCAAATATCACTCAATAATTGCATGAGGAGCTATGGGAAATTTTGTAGATTCCTGGCATCTTTGGAGAAAACAGTTTTTTTCTATGTATTTGCAAGATTAGACTGATATAGCTTAATTACTTGTGGCATCCACACTCCTTAGATAAAAAACAGATAATATAAAGGTAGAAGGAAAATATGCTAATACAGAGTGTTTTAGGAGGTCAAAAATAACTATATTAAAAGGCAAAATATAAGTCAATATAAGACTTACACAACCTCTAAAATTGGAAAGTGATTGCTTTTATTTGGAAAGCAGAGGAGTTAGTCATAAGTGGTGGCTTTTGAAGTTCAGCTGGATTTTGCACATGGGAATTGAAATAGGAAGCGTATTACAAAGGGGGAACTCCTGTGAAAAATTAATTGGTTTAAGTGTTCCCTACTTAAGTGTTCTTGATTAAGAAATTTGGTTTTATTATTGGATTAGAGCAGAAGTTGAAAATATGTTGTGATATAGTGGAAATAACAGTCTTTAGAAGCAAACATGAACTTGAATCTAAGGTGTGATATTTGTTCCTGTGGGAGTGTGCATTACTTAATCTGTTTTTACTATGTCGGCTTGTGTAAAATGTAGGTAATACTTTCCTCAAAAGGATCTGAAGTGTAAATTTCAAAATTAAGTTGACTGTCTAGTAATCAGTGTAAAGCTGGCATGTAATTCCTTCTTATTTTACCACTGAAATTAAAAATAAAACCAAATTTCAAAGGCTTTAGTTGACATATATTTATTATATGGGGTTCCATGTTAAGCTAGAAAGAAATAATTTTCTGGTAGTAGTTTCAGTTGTTTGTTCACTGGGGACTCCTTAAATTTCAGCAAGAATTGATTTTTTAAAAAGTCCTGGCCAGGCACGGTGGCTCACGCCTGTAATCCCAGCACTTTGGGAGGCCGAGGCAGGCAGATCACGAGGTCAGGAGATGGAGACCGTCCTGGCTAACACAGTGAAACCCCGCCTTTACTAAAAATACACAAAAAATTAGCCGGGTGTGGTGGCAGGCGCCTGTAGTCCCAGCTACTCGGGAGGCTGAGACAGGAGAGTGGCGTGAAGCCAGGAGGCGGAGCTTGCAGTGAGCCAAGATCACGCCACTGTACTCCAGCCTGGGCGACAGAGACTCCTCCTCAAAAAAAAAAAAAAAAACCCCAAACAACCAAAAAAATCCCGTGGATATTTGGTTTAATTTGAAAAGGAGACTGGGCGCAGTGGCTCACATCTATAATCCCAAAAGTTTGGGAAGCCGAGGCAGGTGAATCACTTGAGGTCAGGAGTTCGAGGCCAGCCTGGCTAACATGGCAAAACCCTGTCTCTACCAAAAGTACAAAAAAATCCCTAGATGTGGTGGCACCTGCCTGTGGTTCCAGCTACTGTGGAGGCTACGGCAGGAGAATCACTTGAACCTGGGAGGCGGAGGTTGCAGATAGCTAAGATCGCACCACTGCACTCATTGCAGCCTGGGCAACAGGGCAAGACTGTCTCTCAAAAAAAAAAAAGGCAATTTCTAAACTCAGCTGTGAGGTTAAACTCAATGTTTAAAAAATATCACAATCTAGTAGTAATATAATAATTGGTAGAAAAACAAGTTTTGTTACATTTTCCCCCCAAATTATTTAAAACAGTAAACCATAGCATATTAATCAAATGTAGTTTCATATTATTTGTGATAATTTAGAGTAAAGTAGAAATGATGATATAATTACCTATTTGTCTGATTTTATTCATAGGGAGCATCAGGTACATGTGCTTCACACATCTTTGGTTCCTCTTTTTTTAGGTGAATATTAGGCTGTTTAATTTTTATTGTAGATCAAATATTTTGAGTTGAAAAGTAGCTCCAACATTAATTATGGTGAAAGTCATTGTCGAACTATATTTTGTTGTATACATTTTCTTTTTACAAGTTCATGATGAATACAATTGTGAAAGCTGCTATTTTCCTGGGATTTTTAACAAACTGTTCAATCTAGTTTACTTTGTCTGTTGTGATGATTCCGTTTTATTTTTATAGCCTGCCCTTCCTCAGTGTCTGTTGAAGTAAGTGCAGATGGGGTAAATATGCTACCTTTGTCCACGCCGGTTGTCACAAGTGGCCTCACCTACATAAAAATTCAGCTTGTAAAAGCCGAAGTAGCTTCTGCTGTCTGCCTTAGACTACATCGTCCACGAGATGCCAGCACATTAGGCCTTTCACAGATTAAATTATTGGGGCTCACTGCTTTTGGTACCACCTCTTCAGCAACGGTTAATAATCCATTCCTTCCATCTGAAGATCAGGTATCTAAAACAAGGTATGTTTTGTTTCCTATTATTTAAAAAAGCTTTCTGTCCTTTTTTTTGGAGGGGGGGGCAGGGTTGGGAGATAGGGGGCTTACTTATTTTGTGGATTTTTTTCTTTTATAGGTCTTAGGAAGGTCTTTGTTCCATAGGTATCTATATAATACAATTTTATTAGGTGTAATAGAGACAGTTTTGTGGAAACAGAATGCTGACACTGATTAAAATTAAGGTGTATGTATGTTTAGTCTTTGAGATGATCTGTATACTACATGTAGGTGTACATTCTAATTTTATGGCTTGTAATTTTTTGTATCATACTCTGTTTCGGGAATTTGCAAATGCTTATGACCAGGAATGCATCTGAACCATACCAACTGACCTTAGAAACAGGGACTTAGTTTTATATGGTAATTCCTAAATGTTAGTTAACAGAAGGATTGTGTCTGAACCAAACAAACAAGGACCTCAATATATTTTTTAATCAACATTTTTCTGATAAATTTTGATGGCTGAATGTTTTATAGATGGATTTTGTTGAAAGTTTTGCCTGATAAAAATGAATTTAAGGCCTGGCACCATGGCTCATACCTGTAATCCCAGTACTTGGGGAGGCCAAGGCAGGCAGATCACGAGGTCGGGAGATCGAAACCATCCTAGCTAACAAGGTGAAACCCCGTCTCTACTAAAAATACAAAAAATTAGCTGGGCATGGCAGTGTGCAACTGTAGTCCCAGCTGCTGGGGAGGCTGAGACAGGAGAATCGCTTGAACCCAGGAGATGGAGGTTGCAGTTAGCCAAGATTCCGCCACTGCACTCCAGCCTGGGCGAGAGAGCGGAACTCCATCTTCAAAAAAAAAAGAAAAAAGAATTTAGGATTTCTATTCTCAAGGTGCTAAGACTACACAGTTTTAGAAGTCTATGATAGTAATCAGTTTATCGATATATATAATTGCATGCAAAGCAGGTTTCTGGCTGATTTCTTAAAAAAGCAAACACATACTATGAATACATGTCCTTTTGTATGTGATTTATCTTTTTGTTTGTTTTGAGACGGAGTCTTGCCCTGTCGCCCAGGCTGGAGTGCAGTGGTGCAATCTAGGCTCACTGCAACCTCCGCCTCCTGAGTTCAAACGATTCTGCTGCCTCAGCCTCCTGAGTAGCTGGGATTACAAGTGCCCACCACCATGCCCAGCTAATCTTTGTATTTTTAGTAGATAAGGGGTTTCACCAAGTCGGCCAGGCTGGTCTTGAACTCCTGATCTCGTGATCCGCCTGCCTCAGCCTCCCAAAGTGCTGGGATTACAGGTGTGAGCCACCCTGCCCAGTTGTGATTTATCTTATAGGGGAAACTTATTGTCTGTTTACTGAATTTGCAGCATTCTAAAAAACATTTCTTAGATTGTTTGGTGCTATTTGTGAAACACAACATGCTGATCTTTAAAAAGTTATGTTCTACCCGGAAATGATTTGAGCGACTTATATTGATCATACAAGTCATTTTGTATTTTCAGTATTGGATGGTTACGGTTATTACATCATTGCCTTACTCACATAAGTGATCTAGAAGGAATGATGGCAAGTGCAGCTGCACCTACTGCCAATCTGCTGCAGACTTGTGCGGCCTTATTGATGTCACCTTACTGTGGAATGCATTCACCCAACATCGAGGTTGTGCTTGTAAAGATAGGACTGCAGTCTACTAGAATTGGCCTGAAGCTCATAGACATTCTCCTGAGAAATTGTGCAGCATCAGGCAGTGATCCTACAGGTGATAATTAACTTTGATATTTGAATGTTTACGTGTCTGTAAAGTAACAGCAGTTGAACTATGCGATCTTTGTGCTGAGCTCTGTTTTGGGAATTATTTTTTCTTTTAGTTTATGTTTATCTCTTCTCTCTTCTGTCTTCTCTCTTCTCTGATGGAGTCTCACTCTGTTGCCCAGGCTGGAGTGCATTGGTGCAATCTCGACTCACTACAACCTTCGCCTTCCTAGTAGCTGGGATTACAGGCATCTGCCACCACACCCGGCTAATTTTTGTATTTTTAGTAGAGACGGGGTGTCTCCATATTGATCAGGCTGGTTTCGAACTCCTGACCTCAGGTGATCCACCCGAATTGGCCTTCCAAAGTGCTGGGATTACAGGCATGAGCCACTGCACCCAAGCTGGTTTCATTAGTTTAGAGTTTGTTCTTTGTTGTTGGAATTTATGGAAGCTTCATTTTTAATGAATAACTTTATTAAATTAAGTAAATCTTCCCATGGTTCACTTGCTTATTTAGCAAACTTTTTCTTTGGATTCTTTGTTGCAAGATTTGAATAGTCCTTTACTTTTTGGAAGACTAAATGGACTCTCTTCTGACTCTACGATAGATATTCTTTACCAGCTTGGAACAACTCAGGATCCTGGTACAAAAGACAGGTATGATTTTATTTTTCATTTAATTAAGCACACACATGCACATAATCATGCTGTAGTGAATGTTTCTGACAGTTTTTCCTTAGATGATCTCATAAAAGACAATACTGTTATATATTGTATGTTTACCATATGCCTCACACGATGTGACTTCTGTAAGTTTTCATGAACATTAAACATACATTTATATATATTTGGACATACTTTAAGCAAATTTGAACTTAAATAGAATTCTTAGTTAATATTGCTTTTGAGGAATGGAATAAAACATATTTTTAAGTTGGCTATGCTGTGAAAATAACCTTGTACAGTGATGGTATCAGAGTCATACTATTTTAGGTAGTACTTAATATGTGTATATGAATGTGGGAATATTGTGTCTATAGTTGGTAGTTAATACTGCTTTTGAGGAATGGAATAAAACATGTTTTTAAGTTGGCTATGCTGTGAAAGGAACCTTGTAAAGTGATAGTATCAGTCATACTATCTTAGGTAGTACTTAATACATGTATATGAATGTAGGAATATTGTGTCTATAATTAATACTTCGACTATTTTGATAATGGTTGTTCTGTTTATTATTGATTATCATATTCATCAAAGTCTTTTCATTGCTTTCTGTACTCTTTCCTGCTATTTACCACAGAATGAAACAATATCATACCATGTAAATGACATTTGAACACTTTGGCTGAATATTTAAATATTATATTAATATATTAATTAAATATAATATTTTTTTACAGTTAGGTAATTTTGATGAGTTGTCCTAATGTCATTCTACCTTGATGTCTTTTACTTCCAAATTGATACCAACTTGAAGTTTTTGTTTTGTTTTGTTTGAGACAGAGTCTTGCTCTGTCACCCAGGCTGGAGTGCAGTGACACAATCTCCTGACCTCATGACCCGCCCGCCTAGGCCTCCCAAAGTGCTGGGATTATAGGCATGAGCCACTGCACCTGGCCAACTTGAAGTATTTTTGAAACATATTTTTGTTGACAAAGTTTTGAGCAAATATTTGACATTCTCTGTTTTTAATGTGTAGCATCCATATTCGAAAAACATTTATAGAGATTTCTTCCTGATTTATGTTACTTCTTAATATTTTGATTATGTTTAAAATAAAGTCATTTGATGTTTTATTAATATATTCATAAATTATTAAAATTATGGATTACATTTAAACATAGATTGCAATTGTTTTTGATAAAGTAAATAACAATTTATGCCAAATTTGAATCATAATGGTTAATAGTGGTTAAAATATATTTAAAATGTCACTGTTAAATATTTTTCCAGAACAGGTTGCTTGAAATCTGTTAGGATTATTTAATTTTTAAATATTGTTGTGGCTTTTTAATAAGAATAAAATTAAATTTAATTCATTTTCTCTGCATAGTACTTTTTAAAACGTGAATGTTTGTTGTATAAAACTGACATTAGGCGCGGTGGCTCACACCTGTAATCCTAGCACTTTGGGAGGCCGAGGCGGGCAGATCACAAGGTCAGGAGATCGAGATCATCCTGGCTAACACGGTGAAACCCCGTCTCTACTAAAAAAAAAAAAATACAAAAAATTAGCCGGGCGTGGTGGCGGGCGCCTGTAGTCCTAGCTACTCTGGAGACTGAGGCAGGAGAATGGTGTGAACCCAGGAGGCGGAGCTTGCAGTAAGCTGAGATTGCGCCACAGTGGCACTCCAGCCTTGGCCACAGAGCGAGATTCTGTCCCAAAAAAAAAAAACCTGACATTAATGACAAGGTTGTTAGACTGAGTAAATTGTCTTCCTTGTCTTCTGAATTCTCTTTATTCCCCATGATGTAAAATCGAAAGTTTAAGAGTCTTATCTTTCAGAATTAGTATTATATACCTTCCTGTCCCCATTGCTTTTAGTGTGAAGCCAAGAATCTTATATTCTGAAATAGAAATTGAAGGAAAATAAAGTAAATGTAAACAGAATGTTTTAAGAACTTGAGAAATCTCATCCCATTTGTTTTTTGTACAAACTCTATAGTTTTTTTGTTTGTTTGTTTTTTTGAGATGCAGTCTTGCTCTGCCCAGGCTGGAGTGCAGTGGCACAATCTCGGCTTACTGCAAGTGCCACCTCCCAGGTTCACACCATTCTCCTGCCACTGCCTCTGGAGTAGCTGGGACTACAGGCGCCTGCCACCACGTCCAGCTAATTTTTTGTATTTTTTAGTAGAGATGGGTTTTCACCGTGTTAGCCAGGATGGTCTCGATCGTCTGACTTTGTGATCCGCCCGCCTCAGCCTCCGAAAGTGCTAGCATTACAGGCGTGAGCCACCGCGCCCGGCCCAAAACTCTGTAGTATTGTTGCTTTAAAAAGTCTTTTGCTCCCAGGTAGTGGTTCAAAATTGGGCTGTGTTTTACTGGTTCCCAGCTCCAGAGGATTGGGATTAGTGTGGTACTTGACCTATAATCTTGTTATTAATGTCAGTTCTAAATCACAGATACCTGTGTTTTTAAAAGTACTATGCAGAGAAAATAAATAAAGCTTAATTTCCATCTTATAAAAATTATACTTAAAATACATAAGTAACTGTTGAGGGTATATTCTGTTGCAGAATGAATGAGTGTGGGTGGCTATTACTAGTGTTTAATGCTAGGGTCCAGGGATGTGAAACATGCTGTATTTCATGAGACTTTGCACAAAGAAGAATTAGCCCCAGATCACTGTTATAGTGTGTTATCTCAAACCTTTTGATGGTTGAAATTGGTAAGGTTATTGGAAAATTGGAACTGAAGCTACTATGTCGTTGTTGCTGATTTCCTTTTTTCCCCATTTTAGATTAAAACAATCATGAACAATTGGTATATTATTCTCATAAATACCCTACTCACCATGCAGAGATGGTGTTTATCTGTATGCCAATTGCGCTATAGTTGGTTATATGAATTCATTTTCTTCATTTAAGAATTCAGGCCTTGTTAAAATGGGTTAGTGATTCTGCAAGAGTGGCTGCTATGAAGAGAAGTGGCAGGATGAACTACATGTGTCCTAACTCCTCAACAATAGAGTATGGTCTTCTGATGCCATCTCCTTCTCATTTGCACTGTGTGGCAGCCATTCTGTGGCATAGTTATGAGCTGCTTGTAGAATACGACTTACCAGCACTCTTGGACCAAGAGCTCTTTGAGTAAGTATGATTTGTGAAATCCTTTTTTTTCCCCCTAGTACTAGATCAGTTAGTGTTTACTTGATAGAATATTTTACATGTTTATTCGGAGAAACATAATATTTTGAAAGTAGCAAATATAATCAGGTATACTTTTGAAATGAATTGTCAAACAAATATTAATTTATTTTTGTGTTTTAAGAAGATATATTAGCAGTACTGCCTTTTTTTTTTAACCTAAAATTATGCTTAATGTAGATGGTTCTGTGGTTCGTAGTGTTTATTCTCAGTTGCAAATTTTCCCACCAGATGATATTATCTTTAATGTACAACTGTGGCAGGAAAGTACAGCTAGACAACTTTGGGGCGGGGTGTGGTGGCTCACACCTGTAATCCCAGCACTGTGGAGGCCTAGGCGGGAAGATCACTTGAGTCAGGAATTCAAGACCAGCTTGGGCAACGTGGCGAAACGTTGTCTGTACAAAAAGGCAGAAGTCAGAAAGCTGGGTGCAGTGGCTCACGCCTGTAACCCCAGCAGTTTGGGAGGCCAAGGTGGGCAGATCACGAGGTCAGGAGTTTGAGACCAGCCTGGCCAACATGGTGAAACCCCGTCTCTACTAAAAATAAAAAAATTAGGCTGACGTGGTGGTGTGCATCTGTAATCCCAGCTACTCCAGAGGCTGAGGCAGGAGGATCACTTGAACCTGGGAGGCGGAGGTTGCAGTGTGGTAAGATTGCATCATTGCGCTCCAGCCTGGGCGATAAGAGCAAGACTCCATCTCAAAAAAAAAAAGTCAGCCAGACATGGTGACATGCACCTGTGGTCCCAGCTACTTGGGAGGCTGAGGCGCAAGAATTGTTTGAGTCTGCAGAGGTTGCAGTGAGCTGAGCTCACGCCACTGTACCCCAGCCTGGGCAACACAGCGAGACTCTGTCTCAAAAAAAATAACTTTGGGGAGCTGAGATGGGAGGATCACTTGAAACTAGGAGTTTGATGCCAGACTGGCCAAAATAGATAGACCAAATCTCTACAAAAAATTTAAAAATTTGCCAGGCATGGTGGTACATTCCTCTAGCCCTAGTTACTTGGGAGGCTTAGAGGCCACATTTACCTATGATGATGGCACCACTGGCACTGCAGCCAGGGCAACAGAGCAAGATGTCATCTCAAAAAAGAACAAAGATGTAAAGCTAGAAAATTTGAGACTTTTCTAGATTGTCCTTTTGACAAGTAGTTTTTATTTACCCATGTTTCTTCACCATATTTAGCTAAGTCTTTGCTGAACTTACTGATAGGTAACTGTTAAGTCTGCAGCAGAATATATTTTTGAAGAGTTCCTGTGACACATAAAAAGTGGGCCTATTGTTCTTTAGTAGGTCATCATATTTGGCCTTAGCAGTTGGCATAATCCATGACTTAATTACTGAGCTTCACTGATAGTTTTTTATTTGCAAACATGAATTTAAGCCATTTGTCATGCGGAATTTAACGTCAACCATTTCTTTGGCATGATCTTTTTTGTTTGTTTCTCTACATGACTTTTTTAGGTCACACGGAATGGTAGAACCATTTTAAAATAGTTCACTTGATTTTCTGTACTCATTTACGAGTCTAACTCAACTTCCAGTGTACCTACATTCTTAAATTTTAAATATATATACACATACATATATATGCAGTCTTAAATCTTACAATGTTATGTTACTCAATGTCAAATAAAGTCCATAATGTGTCAGAGTATAGATTGAACTATAATAGAAATATTTGAAACGGTTTCTTCTAAAAATAAACTTGTATCATTAATATGATATCTCTTATTTTTCTAGGTTACTTTTTAATTGGTCCATGTCTCTTCCCTGCAATATGGTTTTGAAGAAAGCTGTTGACAGTCTACTTTGCTCAATGTGTCACGTACACCCAAACTATTTTTCTTTGCTCATGGGCTGGATGGGAATTACCCCTCCTCCAGTGCAATGTCACCATAGACTGTCCATGACAGATGATAGCAAAAAGCAGGATCTTAGTTCATCTTTAACAGATGACTCTAAAAATGCACAAGCACCTCTCTCATTAACTGAATCACATTTGGCTACCCTTGCTTCCTCTTCTCAATCTCCTGAAGCTATTAAACAATTACTAGACTCAGGTTTGCCTTCTCTTCTTGTGAGGAGTCTGGCTAGTTTCTGCTTTAGCCACATTTCTAACTCAGAAAGCATTGCTCAGTCAATAGATATTTCCCAGGACAAACTCAGACGCCATCATGTTCCACAACAATGTAATAAGATGCCCATCACAGCAGACCTAGTTGCTCCTATTCTTAGGTTTTTGACAGAAGTTGGCAATAGCCATATTATGAAAGATTGGCTTGGTGGTTCTGAAGTGAATCCACTCTGGACAGCACTTCTGTTTTTATTGTGTCACTCTGGGTCCACTTCTGGAAGCCATAATTTAGGTGCACAACAGACCAGTGCAAGATCAGCTTCTCTTTCTTCAGCTGCTACAACAGGATTGACTACTCAACAGCGCACAGCAATTGAGAATGCAACTGTTGCATTCTTTCTGCAGTGCATTTCATGCCATCCAAATAATCAAAAGCTGATGGCACAGGTAAGAGAAAAACTAACTTATGTTTTAGTTGTTGTATTACATAAGAAAGGGCCATGTATAAAGGCCAGGTGATAATAAATTTGGTAGGTGGCCGGGCACGGTGGCTCAAGCCTGTAATCCCAGCACTTTGGGAGGCCGAGATGGGCGGATCACGAGGTCAGGAGATCGAGACCATCCTGGCTAACAAGGTGAAACCCCGTCTCTACTAAAAAATACAAAAAACTAGCTGGGCGAGGTGGCGGGCACCTGTAGTCCCAGCTGAGGCTGAGGCAGGAGAATGGCGTAAACCCGGGAGGCAGAGCTTGCAGTGAGCTGAGATCTGGCCACTGCACTCCAGCCTGGGTGACAGAGCGAGACTCCGCCTCAAAAAAAAAAATAAAAAAAGATAAAAATAAATAAATAAATAAATTTGGTAAGTGTTGAGTGCTTTTAAGGATCCGAATTTAAACTAGAAAGTACTGATATGTCCTTTCTCCCCCTCAAAATATGCTGTCACTTGAATCACTTCTTTATAATGAGATGACTGGCAAATGCATTGGGATCTTAGCTGGATCATACAACCCTCGTTTTAAAAAATTTCCACAAACAAAAAGAAAAAGACCAAGAAAAAATTTCAGCTGCTGGAACAGTATTGACACTGGTCACTGAATACTGTATGTGCATTGAGGCATTGTATTTTTGTGTAACGAGATTGCCATACTGATAGTTTGCATCTCTTTACATGGGCATTAGATTAGGTTTCAGATAGGAGACTCCACATAAATCACATACAAAATGTGGAAGATAGACTGTGTGTGGTGGCTCACGCCTATAATCCCAGCACTTTGGGAGGCTGAGGTGGGCAGATTGCCTGAGGGCAGGAGTTCAAGACCAGTCTGGCCAACATGATGAAACCCTGTCTCTACTAAAAATACAAAAAAATTAGCCGAGTGTGGTGGCAATCACCCGGAATCCCAGCTACTCGGGAGCCTGAGGCAGAGGAGTTGCTTGAACCAGGGAGGTGGTGGTTGTAGTGAGCCGAAATTGCACTACTGCACTCGCAGCCTGGGTGACAAAGTGAGACTCTGTCTCAAAAAAAAAAAAAAAAAAAAAAGGAAAAAAAAAATTTGAAAAAAAAAAAAAAAAAAAAAAAAAAAAAAGCGGAAGATAATTTATCATACTGCACTCCAGCCTGGGCGACAGAGCGAGACTCCATCTCAAAAAAATCCTGAAAGGTAGAATTATTTCAAGAGTAATTCTAGTTAGATGTTTGCCAAATTTTGCTGTTGGCTACCTCATGTGCCCTTGGGCATATGGGTTAATCTTATAAAATGGTGCTAGCAATACCTGCCTCAAGGATTTTTTTGAGATGGTTAAATATTTTAATTTGTATAACGTACCTAGCATAGAGCCTATATGAGATATGGTAGACACTGGTAAATAACTTTTCCCCTTCTTATTTAATAGTGCTCATTCAAGTCAAACTTTAGTAGTACCTAGAAAAATAGATATTGTAATTTTTATAAAATATTGAAGGAGTTAGTTTTATTAAGAAGAAGGGCAGGTTGGGTGCTGTGGCTTATACCTATAATCTCAGCACTTTGGGAAGCCAAGGTGGGTGGAACACTTGAGCTTAGTTTGAGACCAGCTTGGACAACATGGCAAAACCTCCTCCCTACCAAAAAAAGAAATCATAACCAAAATTAGCCGGGCACGGTGATATGCACCTTTGGTTCCAGCTACTCAGGAGGCTTGAGGTGGGAGGATCACTTGAGCCCAGGAGGTTGAGGCTGTAGTGAGCTGAGATCACACCACTGCCCTCCAGCCTGGGTGACAGAGCAAGATCCTGTCTCAACAACAAGCAAAACAAAACAGAAGAAGAAGAGAAAGATATTTTACTGCCTGTAGTAATTAATTACTGGGAAAATATCGCTGCTAAATATGTATATTAAAAGAAAATGCTTAAATTACCAGCTTCACCCGAGGGCATGATTGTAGGTATTTGAAAATTTGGTTTGTGCTTCTGGGTAGCATGAACTCTTTGTGTCCCATTGATTTCTCTTTTGGTTTCTTATTAAGGCTTTATATATATTTTGGGGGTGGGGTGAGGCAGGATCTCTGTTGCCCAGGCCTGTAGAGCGGTTGCACAATCACGGCTCACTGAAACTTTTGGGCTCAAGCAGTCCTGCCTCAGCCTCCCAAGTAGCTGGGACTACTGGCACATGCCACCACGCCTAACTAATTTTCTTTTGGTTGGGGGGTGGGTAGAGATAGGGTTTCACCATGTTGCCTAGGCTGGTCTGGAATTCCTGGGCTCAAGTGATCTCTTCTCTTAGTTTCCCAAAGTTCTGAGATTACCAGCGTGACCCACCATGCTTGGCCTTGTTACGTATTTTTAATGTACTTTTTTCATAATTTTTATTTTATGATAACCACACCAATATTGACTAAAGTTAACAGAAGTTCATTATGCTAGGTATTCATTATGTGCACACCCTTTAGTAGTAATTTTTTCTAACCCTGGATACATTTCTTACACTTTTATCTCCTTCAGTATTCATATATTTTAAGATAAAATCATTTCTTTCCTCCTTAAAAAAAAAAATCTTAAACCCTAGACCCCCAGAGACATTTGTTCTTTAATTGCTGATTTGATATGTTAAAATAAACTTAATTCATATTTTCTATTTCCTTTTTATCTTTCAAAATAAAAAGCTGCATATAAATCTTGCATTTAACTTTTTAAATATTTTGTCTTGCCAGGTTCTTTGTGAACTATTTCAGACATCTCCTCAAAGAGGGAACCTTCCAACATCTGGGAACATTTCAGGGTTTATACGAAGATTATTTTTACAGTTGATGCTGGAAGATGAGAAAGTGACAATGTTTCTTCAGTCTCCATGTCCAGTGAGTATTTAACACTTAATCATTGGCTGTGTATACATGTATTTTATAATTTCATATCAGAGCCTGCAGTTATCTTCTATGTTCTAACTTCTAATGTAGCAAACTGAAACTAGCACAGCTTTTGTACCTAATGGCAGAACTTGACAATTTTAGAATAGCACTCTCCCTCATGCCTAGGAATAACATAATTTTACCTTACCCTGAGTACTATAGTTTGATTTGTGGAAAAAAATGAAAAAATATTAGGTACAGAGTGATAATGCAAAAGTTGACCAACAAATCATGACAAATATGCCATATCTAAATTAATTATATCTTGTAGTATTTATTGAGTATTTTATTCTTAGGTGCTTTTGAGATTTTTTTATAACAATATGTATTCCAAAAAGTTACTTCCTGATTTCTTTGATTTCTTGATTTTCAGCTGTACAAAGGTAGAATTAATGCTACTAGCCACGTCATCCAGCATCCAATGTATGGAGCAGGCCACAAATTCCGTACTCTTCATTTGCCAGTCTCAACAACATTATCAGATGTTCTTGACAGAGTGTCAGGCAAGTCAGATTTAAGTATTAGTTTTTCTTTAACTTTATGTTTCATATATATGGAGGTTTATTGTTTTTATAACTTTATTTCTGCATCCACTTGGTAACCATTAATGACTAGAAAAGTTCATGATATCTTTATAGTTTGAAGCATAAGTAAGAAGCCAGTCAAGTGGACAAAATGTAAAATACATTTAGGCACCCCTAATTTTATGGTTTAAAGTATCACTGTGACAAATGGGTAGCTAAAAATACAGACAAATCATTGATGGCATGTTCTCACAATAAACCATCTGGTCATTTTATATTAGATGAATTGCAGGATATTAGGTTGAATAGCAAGATTCTAATTAATAAACATTTACTAAATTGAAGATGGTGATCAGTGATCAAGACATAAATGGAGTAGGTAGAATTGACTAGTGACCTTATTGTTTATTGTAGTCAGTGAATAAAGCAGAGAGAACATTTTCTCCTAGGTTCTTGCCTGTATTTTACAGGATGATACCTTTAAACAACATATGGAATACTTTTTTAAAAAGCAGGTTTTGATGACAAAGGCATATCAACTTTTTATTTTATGTATTTATTTATTTTCAAGAGGGGAGTCTCACTCTATCACCTAGGCTGGAGTGCAGTGGAATGATCTTGGCTCACCACAACCTCTGCCTCCCATGCTCAGGCAATTCTCCTGCCTCAGCCTCCCAAGTAGCTGGCATTACAGGCCTGTGCCACCACGCCAAGCTAATTTTTTTGTATATTTAGTTTCACCATGTTGGCCAGGCTGGTCTCGAACTCTTGACCTCAAGTGATCCTCCCGCCTCAGCCTCCCAAAGTACTGGGATTACAGGTGTGAGCTACTGCGCCTGGCCCATATCAACTTTAGATAGTTGGAGTGTATTGCCTTTCTGAAATTCTAATTAATCAGTGAGTGAATTTATTGAGCATCTGCAAAGTGCAAGCACAAATTTGTCCTAAGATGATAAACATGAGCAAGATAGACATTCCACCCCACAAGATAGTTGTGATCTTATGTCTGTTGTCAGCTTCTAAAATAAACTAGAAATGTCTGCTTGTGTTATAACATAAATGTAAGTAGGTATATTTCTATCTGTATATATAAGAAGGGACCTAAATTTTTAATGGAAGCTGTGAACTGAAGCAGTAATAGGAGTATCTAAGAAAAAAGTTGAAAATGTCTATTTATCAGTTTAAAATACAAATCTGAAGCCCAGAGTAAGAGTTGAAGAGATTTGGGAGTTGTTACCATACATAGATGGTAAGTGAAACCATGTGAATGGATGTAATCACTATAGGTAGGCAAGATTGTTTTCTGCTTTACAATCACTGTGTCTAACCTGTGTATGCATAAAATCATAATTCTTTCCTACCGTTTTACAACTTATAAGTTGTTAGCATACTATTATAAATATTTAAAAAAATTATTTGAAAATGACTGCCCTATCTGTTACAGAGAAACTTTTTTGAAAATTTGATGTTAGAGGGTATTTTCTATCAGTTTCCTGAAATTGTCCCTTCTACATGATGAAGAAAAATGAAAATTAAAAATCAAATAAATAGGCTGGGCATGATGGCTCACGCCTATAATCCCAGCACTTTACGAGGCCAAGGCAGGTAGGTTACCTTAGGTCAGGAGTTTGAGACCAACCTTGCCAAGATGGTGAAACCCACCTCTGCTAAAAATACAAAAATTAGTTGGGCATGATGGCGTGCACCTGTAGTCCCAGCTACTTGGGGGACTGAGGTAGGAGAATCACTTGAACCCTAGAGGTGGAGGTTACGGTGAGCCGAGATTGCACCACTGCACTTCAGCCTGGACGACAGAGCGAGACACTCTCAAAAAACATACAAACAAAATTAAATAAATGAAGAAAGTGGAGAAGAGCACTAAAGCTCAGTTATTGATATTGATATTTCATATGTTTAACTTGAAGTGCAAAAGTAGACATTCTAATACAAAATAACTGAAAATTGAACATTTTAATCTTTACTGTGGAAGAATGCTATTCTAAAACATTCTAGCATTCAAAATATTTTACAAAATAGTTTTCTATATTGCACAAAAATAAAGCTAATTGCTTTGGAAGTACACTGCCTCAAAAGTTATATGTGCTGAGTGTAACCTCTGGCAATTTTTTTTGGTTCTTTGAAGTGGATTTATACTCTTTAGCCATATTTTATGATATATTGACTTGTATGTTTATATTATATCAACATGTATAAGAATAAGTAATTCAGAAGTATTGCCTCCGTAAATTTACCTACTATCTATAGCTTTTGACAGTATTACTTTCTTTTGTTTGTTTGTTTGAGATGGAGTCTTTCCCTGCATTACTTGAGCCCATGAGTTCCAGACCACCTGGGCAACATAGCAAGACCTCATCTCAAAAAAAAAAAAAAAAAAAAGGCAAAGACAACAAGAGAATATGAAAACTAGCCAAAAAGGAAGTGACCTATTATTTTCTCTATCACTGTCTTTTTTTTTTTTTTCTTTCTTTTTTTGAGATGGAGTCTCACTCTGTCCCCCTGGCTGTGCAGTGGCGTGATCTTGGCTCACTGCAACCTCCGCCTCCCAGGTTCAAGCAATTTTCCTGCCTCAGTCTGCAGAGTAGCTGGGATTACAGGTGCATGCCACCACACTTGGCTAATTTTTTTTTTTTTTTAAATAGAGATGGGGTTTTGTCGTTTTGGCCATGCTGATGTCAAACTCCTGGCCTCAAGTGATCTGCCTTCCTTAGCCTCCCAAAGTGCTGAGATTACAGGCATGAGCCACCACACCGGGCCAACAATATTACTTTCAAATAATAACCTTTATGTGCCAGTCTGTTTGCTTTTACAAATTTCTGTCACTGGTTTTAAGCAGTAGGATGATTGTGTGCCTTACAATTTTTTCTTCACATTTCTTATGATTAGAGTTTATTGAATTTCTTGAATCTGTGTATTTTATATTTCACTAAATTTGGAAATATTTTGGCAATTATTTATTCAATAATTGCCTCCCCTTTTTTTATAATTACAGTTACTCACTTATTAGGCTATGCGAAGTTGTTTGACACCTCCCCAAATCTGTGTTTCCTCTTTTCCCCCTATCATTTTTTTTCTCTATTTTTAAATTTTGGATAATTTCCTGTGTCTGATCTGTTAGAACTTTTATATCTCCTTGTCCTTACTGAAAGTATATAGATTTTCTTCAACTTTCTTGAACATAGTAGTCTGTTTGTATTATTTTTCTCTTCCTTATGGATTGTATGTTTTTGCTTCTTTATTTGCCTGGAGAATTTTCTTGGATGCCAGACAATGTAAATTTTACTTTTTGGGGTGCTAAATATTTTGTATTCTAATATACGTATTTTATTTTTTCATGAAATGTAATGATATTATTTGAAAACAGTTTGTTGCTTTTAGACTTGCTTTTAATCTTTGTAAGTAGGATCAGGGCAGCTTTTACTCTAAGGCCAGACTTACTGTAATTATTGGTATTTTTTTTATAAACCAGTGTTGTCTAGTTTGGTGACTGTTAAGCACATGCAATGAGACTAAGAAACTAAATTTTTAAATTGAATTTTTAATTTTAATGAATTTTACCTTTAAATATGTACTACATTAGAGTAGAATTAAAGTACCAGGTTTGAAAATGCATTTCTAAATCCCATTTGACCCCACTATTAAGGCTCTGTCCTTGTGAGTACTCTGTTAGGAATTCACTAGATGTCTAAGAACACAAAGCATTTTATTCCCTGAAACCCTGGGGTTGTTTGCACTGCTGCTTTTCTGTAGTACCTTTGCTGGCCTTCAGTGGTTTGCTCACATATGTTCATCAGTACATTTGAAGTCTTGAAGACCCTATATAGATCTTTGGAGATTCAGGGATCTCCAGATCTCTAGATGCAAATCTGCATAGATGTGGATCTCTTCTTCCTGGATTCCCGGCTCTTGTATCCTCAGTCTAGGGTGACACCTAGGTTGTGCTGAGCTGTGACTTAGGAATTCTTTTCCAGACAGCTCACACAATCCTAGGGGTCATCTCATTGGTTTCCTCTCACCCAGGCATCACTGCCCTGCCCTGCCTGATGCTCAGGGTCTGAAAAGTATTATTAATATGTATTTCTAGTTAATGGTTATTTCAGGTGGGAGAATGAACCTGATCCTTATAATTCCTTCTTGGCCAGAAGTGGAATTCTAAAACAGAGCAGCTTTTTGCATCCATTCAAGTACAGAGAAAAAAATAAAATAGAAATTTGTAATAAAAAATAAAAAATGAAATTAATATTAGAAACCAGAGCAGTTTTAAAAGGAGGTTGAGAAAACTTTTTTCAGTGTTTGAATGGCTTTTATTCTTTATACTTTTGAAATAAGGGTAATAAATGAAAATTGACTAAACTTCTAATTGCACTAAGTAAATTATTACCTAATATTCTTTATGTGTTTTTCTTACCTGATTATGCTATGAATTAACTTTGTGAATTTCTTATTACTTAAATGTTTCACTCTGACCTGTGTCAGTATGTTTGCCACTTTTGGTTGCTTGGTTGTTTTTGTTAGAAAGTAAAATGTATTGTTGCACCATGCATTTGCAATGTGTATAAAATTTTTTACCTCACAAAACTGTCTATAGGCAATTAGCAATTAGTATTAACAAGCTGTATAAATTGAAATCACTTTCATATACTAAAAACTATAAAATGGGAATTATTGCAAAAGATGTTGTTTATTGTTTTATTATCTCAACTTTTTTAACATGAAAGACTGGATCATAATTGTGTTAAATTAGGGAAGTAAAAAGAGAATTGAGGTAGATGCAGTGGCTCATGCCTGTAATCCCAGCACTTTAGTAGGCTGAGGCAGGCAGGTGGCTTGAGCCCAAGAGATCAACAACAGTCTGCGCAAGATGACGAAACCTCCTCTCTACTAAAGATACAGAAATTCGTGGCATGTGCCTGTGATCTCAGTTACCTGCGAGGCTGAGGTGGGAGGATCACTTGAGCCTGGGATGTTGAGGCTGCAGTGAACTGTGATTACACACACCACTGCTCTCCAGCCTGGGTGACACAGCGAGACTTTGTCTAAAAATAAAAGAGAGAGAGACAATTGGAGAATTGATAATAGTTATATAGTGAAAAAAATTGTGATTTCAAAACAATTCATTGAGCCTTTAAATTTCTTAATAACTAAATCACATTATATGATCACCCATTTATTTTATAATTTTTAGTGGTGTGCTATATGCCATAGTAATGAAAGAAATATTCAGAGAGTAATAACAATCTATGAAAGCCCTTAATACTCATTTTTTAAAGTAAAACACTTTAAATTTTAAAACACATTATTTTGTTGTCTAAGATTCCTGTGTTTGGCCTAAATAAAAATTAACAGAACAGGAAATCGGTTACAGACATTTGTTCCTTTATACTTTCATTTGCAGTATAAGCAGAAGTCTAGTTTAATGCTGTAGACTAAATCTTGCACTTGAGTCCCATATTTACCATCTACAGATTATATCAGTAGCCTTTCTAAGGCTGTTTCTTCATTTTCAAAATAACATTCTTTCTTGATTTCTACGTTGTGAGGACTGAATTAGATGCAGTTGCCAAGCACATTGAACTATGGCTAAAATAAAGCAAGTTTTCATGCTACTGGTTTTTATTGTTTCTGGAGGTGGTACCATTAAAATACTGTATATAATACTTTATAAAGATTAGAACTTAAATATTCTGGCTTCAGTACAGTGGTGAGTCTTCTTCATCAATGTCAGTAAAGATTAGATATCAGGCCATTACCTCATGTTATTTCTCCTAAATTCCTTTGTATTGCCTTAGTATTAAGGAAAATACTATCTTGCATAATCTTTCTCTGAAATATTTATTATTTCCCTTCTTAATGATTTGGAAAAGCAGTGTATTTTAGATAATATCTTCTTACAGATACTCCAAGTATCACAGCTAAATTAATTAGTGAACAAAAAGATGACAAAGAAAAGAAAAACCATGAAGAGAAAGAAAAAGTTAAAGCGGAAAATGGATTTCAAGACAATTACAGTGTTGTTGTTGCCTCTGGTATGCTTTCTATTTTTTATAATCTTGATTTTGTTTGGGTTTCTATAAAATACTACTATTTTAGTTATAGGAAATTTATGTAATACAATGTACTAACATACAAAGCTGACTTGTAATGATGTTTTAATACTAGATTTTTATCTTTTTATTTTTTTTTTTTCAGTTTCCACTAAATGGATTGTCATCTGTATTTCAGAGATTATAGCAACTAGCTGTAGTTTTTACTGTTTAGGAAAATAGTTACAGATGCAATGCCAAAATTACTTATTTATTGTCATGAAGGATGAATAGAATTGGGAGATGAGATATTGGATTAGAAAGAACATTTCTGTCTTTGGACATTAGCTAGGAATGCATGCCTTATGAAAATATTTTAAAAACACTGTTTTCCTTCATATTGGTGTGTTGACTATGTAGAATCTTACTGATCCTTTTCTTTTAGGGCTGAAGTCTCAGTCTAAACGTGCTGTGTCAGCTACACCACCTCGCCCACCATCCAGGAGGGGGAGGACAATACCTGATAAAATAGGAAGTACTTCAGGAGCAGAGGCTGCCAACAAAATAATTACTGTCCCAGTGTTTCACCTGTTTCACAAACTCTTGGCAGGTAATATTCCACAATTAATAAACATCAAAGAAATTTTAGTAGCCTTAAAACTATGTAAATCAGAGGCACAATCACCAAAATCATTTTAATCAGGTGCCATTGATGAGATCAATGAGTTAGTGAGACTTCCTCTTCCATACAGTTCGTCTGAAGAGAAGTGAGAGCAAAGTAGTAATCTATTACATGTCCTGTTTAACACTGTCAAGTTATATATTTCTATTTCACTGGTTTTCTAAGTTTTTCTGTCAGTGTGCCATGAAATGATTGATGAAATAAATATTTAGTGAGTTCATGACAAGTTATATAGGAAACATCCTGGGGCAAATTTGTAGGACTAGTTCAAGCAGTGGAACTCTTAGACCACTGGTAGTTAAGCCTTATGTTCTTCCCAGATAAAACAAATTTATTGAGCACTGTCCTGTCTGTTGTTCAAGGTGATAACTGGTTGAGCATCCCTAATCCAAAAATTCAGTGTCTGATACTTTTTGAGTGCTGACATGACACAAGTAGAAAATTCCACATCTGACCTCATATGACGGTTGCAGTCTAAACACAGGTACACAACACACAGTTTATTCAGCGTCCGCAAGAGGAAAAAGACCTTCCCAGCCCCCTTCAGGTATTTTTTAGCATGCTCGATTCTCCCCTACATATCCACAGTGGGTAACAAAATTGCACATGTGCATGCCAGACGTGCCAACAGCAGGTTTCCCACGATGCCCCATATGGTGCCAACATGTATGTGCCTAACTGTTTTTTTGCTCTGGTGTTGGAAATTTCAAAAAGGCCCCAGATGCCCCTATGGATAATAGTAATAAAAAGAGGAAGTATTTATGTTTATCTGTAGCACAGAAAAACAAGCTATTGGAGAAACTGGACAGCAATGTAAGTGTGAAACATCTTTCAAGAGAGTATGGTGTTGGAATGACCACCATATATGACCTGAACAAACAAAGATAAACCATTGATGTTCTGTGCTGCAAGTGGTGAATAGAGGTTAAGGAAAAATAGAAAAAGCACTTCATAAAGCTAAACATGAACATATTATTGTGTATTGAAATAGTGAATCCATCAGTGTTGGCAGTGAACATGTGCCTCTTAATGGTATGCTGATCATGAAACAAGTAACGATCTATCATGATGAACTGAATGTTGAAAGGGACTGTGAATATTCAACACACTGGTTGCAGAAGTTTAAGAGAAGATACGATATTACATTTTTAAAGATTGGTGATAAAGCATCTGATGATCATGAAGCAATGGAGAAGTTCTTTGATAAATTTGCCAAAGTCATGGCTGATGAAAATCTGCTGCCAGAACAGTTTATAATGCTGATGAAATATCACTGTTATGGTGTTATTGTCCCAAAAAAGACACTGGACTACAGTTGATGGGACAGCCCCTCCAGGAATTAAGGATACCAAGGATAGAATAACTGTCCTGGGATGTGCTAATGCAACTGGCATACATAAGTACAAACATGCTCTGATAGGCAAAACCTTTCACACTTGCTGTTTTCAAGGAGTGAATTTCTTACCAGTCCATGGTTACGCTGACACAAAGGTATGGATCACCACAGACATCTTTTCTGATTGGTTTCATAAACATTTTGTGCCAGTGACTTGTATGTATTGCCCGTAAGCTAGACTGAACGATGTAGGAGTTTGTTATTACTTGATATCCCCCAGTTCATCCTCCAGCTAAAAATCTCGAAACTAATGTTTATGCTGTGTACCTTCCCCCAAATGTGACTTCATTAATTCAGCCATGTGACCAGGGTATCTTTAGATCAATGAACAGAAAATATAAATCCCCTTTCTTGAACAGCATGCTGGCAGCAGTGAACAGAGGCATGGGTACAGAAAATTTTCGAAAGGAGTTTAAAGAATGCCATATATGTTGTTGCCAATACTTGGAACACAGTGACAAAGACACAGTTGAGCATGCCTGGCACAACCTCTGGCCTGCAACTGTGTTTAGTGATAATGATGAACTGTGTGTGACTTTGAAGGATTCTGTATGTCAAGTGAAAAAAAAATGATTTCTGACCTCCTTACATGTGTAAAAAATATACCTTCAGAGTTCAGCAGTAAGCTGGAAGAAGTAGATGTCAAAGAAGTTTTCAACTTTGATAATAATGCTTCCGTTATTCATTCATTGACTGGTGGTAAAATAGCTGAAATGGTTTTGAATCAGGGTGATGATAGTGACGAAGAAGATCAAGTTAACACCACAGAAAAGGTGCTTATAGAAGAAGACATGGTGAAAATGTATGGTGGGCATATTGAAGGACTAGGGCAGCGTGCATTAACAACAGAATGACAAACCATGTCAGTTTTCAAAATTGAAGAGAGTCTTCTGAGCTAAAAACCATGTTAATGAGGCAGATGACTCTGCAAGAAGAATTTTTAAGAGCCTTCCAGCAGAATGTCTCTTCATCCCCTGTAGGATCCACTTCCTGGTCCCTCAGCTACTTCTGATATTTCTTCTTACCTAAAAAACACAGTTTATAGTAACCTTTTAATAAAAACACAGCATCATAGGTGAAGACTGAAAGCCTGCTGTTGTTTGTGGTTGCTTTTTCCTTTTTTTTTTTTTGAGATTTAGTTTCACTCTTGTTGCCCAGGCTGGAGCGCAATGGCGTGATCTCGGCTCAGTGCAACCTCTGCCTCCTGGGTTCAGGCAATTCTCCTGCCTCAGCCTCCCGAGTAGCTGGGATTACAGGTGACCGCCACCACGCCTGGCTAATTTTTGTATATTTGGTAGATACAGGGTTTCACCATGTTGACCAGGCTGGTCTTGAACTTCTGACCTCAGGTGATTCACCTGCCTCAGCCTCCAAAAGTGCTGGGATTGCAGGCATGAGCCACCATGCTCAGTCCTGTGGTTGGTTTTGTTTAATAACTGAAACAGGTATCCTGGTGATGCTACTATGCTGCTTATTTGCCCTGACACATTATTTTTTCACTCTGTTAATGGTATGTCATATTTTTACTGTTAAGTACTTAATATGTGAATAAATGTAAGAAAACAATTGCCTATCGGTAGCATGTAGATTAAGAGTCAGGAATGATGATGATGCCTAACAGTCACACATTGTTGGCATGGGTGGCTGAGATAGTGACACCTTTGCTTTCTGATGGTTCAGGGTACACAAACCTTATTACAGGCACAAAATAATCAAAACTACTATACAAAATTACGTTAAGGCTATGTATATAAGGGATGTGTGTATGTGTGTATACACACAAACATAAATTTTGTGTTTCCACTTGGATCCCCTCCCTAAGATAACTCATTGTGTACATGCAAATATTAGAAAATGCAAAAAAAAAAAAAAAATCTGAAATCTGAAACAGTTCTAGTCTCAAGCATTTTGGATGAGGGATACCCATTCTGTATTTTATCACCATTTTCATGCTGTATTAAAATGAAGTTGCCAACTCAGTTCAAGGGAATTTTTCTTTTTAGCTTTACATTGTTGATTCATGGTGGAGGTCAACTGACTGTTGACTGGTGGGTTGGATACCTCTGTCCAGAGAGGTCCTTGTGACATGACATTTCTCATGGCCCATTACCTAGGTGATGTGAGTCTCCCCTTCTGCCTGGAATAAACTTTTGTTGGAATACAGCTATGCCCGTTTACTAGTGTATTGTCCATAACTGCTTCTCTGCTACAATGTAGATGAGCAGTTGTAACAGAGACTATATGGCTCCCCTAGCTTAAAGTATTTATTAGCTGGCCCTTTAAAGAAAAAAATGGCCCACATCAGATTTATGGGAATGTCTGTTCCTTTGTTTACGTTTTGCCCGTGACTTTTTAACACTTTGTAGACGTTATTGTTCATTATTATATGTCAGAAATAAACTCACTTTTTGTAAACTTTCTAATGGCTGTTGAATTTTTTAATTGTTTTGAAATTGGTTTCAGAATCAAACTCTTGCCTATAATTTAATAAAAGCAGTTAATAATTAAACCAAGTAAATGTTTCTTTCTTGGTTTCCAGATTTAACTTAGTTATATCATTTTAGGCCAGCCATTGCCAGCTGAAATGACACTTGCCCAGCTTTTAACTCTCCTATATGACCGAAAACTTCCTCAGGGTTACCGCTCAATAGATCTGACTGTTAAATTGGGATCAAGAGTTATAACAGACCCAAGTCTATCAAAAACAGATTCTTATAAAAGACTACACCCTGAAAAAGGTATGTGCGTAATACTACTTTAAAAATTACAGACTGTCATACAAAGAGGCAGAGATTTCTATAGCTAATGACTTGATTGACTTGTGTTTTTATTATATCAACGTAAGATATAATTTTTTTTATGACTGAATTTTTGTAAATATAAAAAATGGCCATGATTTCATTTGGAAACTAAGTTGCATTACTTCTTATAACATCATTTGTTTTATGAGTGCATGTACTTTAATTTCTAATATTTCTGTGAGAGCTATGTGAATTGTTTTATAATAAAAGTGAGAAACTCAACTTACAACTTAGTTATAATTTATATTGAGTGGCATTTCATGCATATAAACATGTTTTCTCATGTAATTGGGATCACATATTTCTGTTTTTTACTTATATATTCCGTTAATTTTTTTTTTTTTTCTTCCGAGAAAGAGTCTTGCTCTGTCTCCTAGGCCGGAGTGCAGAGGCGCAATCTCAGCGCATTGCAATCTCTGCCTCCCGAGTTCAAATGATTTTCCTGCCTCAGCCTCCTGAGTAGTTGGGATTACAGGCACCCACCACCATGCCTGGCTAATTTTTATATTTTTCGTAGAGACAAGGTTTTACCTTGTTGTCCAGGCTAGTCTGTAACTCCTGACCACAACTGATCTGCCTGCCTTGGCCTCCCAGAGTGCTGGGATACAGGCATGAACCACCGCACCTGGCCCTTATATTCCTTTAAAAATTTTTGAATGTCCATTTTTGAATTGGCTATTTTTTTATACAAATGTAAGAAAATTTATTTGTTTTCCAATCATTGAAATGTTGTGGTTGTTTCCAATTTTTTACTCCTATAAATGCTATATAAGTAATTTTCATAGTGTGAGTATGGTATGAACTTATTTAAACTTACCATCTTTTTCATGACTAAAATTCAATCTTTAGTTATTGGTCTTTTATATTCTTCAGCAAATTTTGGTACATTTTCTTTGCCCAGTTTTGCAGCACAATTATTTCTCTCTTTTGTTTTAATGTTTAAAGGGTCTCCTTACGTGATCTTTTGGTTTTCTTTTGTGAGTAATTCAGAGTTAAACTAATACGGTATATGGTATAATTTTTTGTTTTCAGTGAGAGAAGTCTTTGTCATTAATTTTTCTTAATAGGATACTTTAGAGCATATTATTTGCTATGAGTACTTTTGAGAACTTACTTATTTTAACATAGGATATAAGTTGTAAGTATGCCCTAAAGGACAGTGCTTCTCAGACTTCAGTATCCTTACAAATGACCTGCGTCATAGTGTTAAAATGGAGATTCTTCATTTCAAACAAGCTTGCAGGTGATGCCCATGCTACTAGTCCATGAACCATTCTTCCAATAACAAGACTAAAGAAGGTAGTATCATAAGTCATTTAAAGGTCATTGTAGTATCTAGCCATAATACAGCTATATCTAAATAAATGATGTTTTGTGCTCTTTTTTGAGTAGCAAGAAAACAGTAATAATACCTGCTTTTGTAAATGAAAGAATATTATAAAAATATACACTTTCTTACCTATTCAGTTATTTGTAATTTATTGTCTAGATCATGGAGACTTACTTGCTAGCTGTCCAGAAGATGAGGCTCTCACTCCAGGTGATGAATGCATGGATGGGATATTGGATGAATCTTTGCTTGAAACCTGTCCCATTCAGTCACCATTACAAGTTTTTGCAGGAATGGGTGGACTGGCTCTTATTGCTGAAAGACTACCCATGTTATATCCAGAAGTAATTCAACAGGTAAGATAAGATTTCCTAATCGAGTATATCATTCTGTAGCTAAGCCGTTCATTCTTGTTATGTTTGTTTTTTAGTGTACTTGGATTAACTTTGTAGAAATACCCTTTGCTTTATATTTTTTGAACATTATATAACTCTTTCAATGATCAGTCTATACAGAGCTTCATGACCTTTAGTAGGTATGGAAGAAATGTTGAAGATTAAGCACATTTGCCAAACTTACTACACTGTAGCATTTATCTTGATTTCATGGTTGTAACACTAGCATTCTCTTTTCTATACTGCTTTAAGTGTGATATTTATCAGAGACATTATTGGAAATAGAGTAAAATAGGAGTGTATACTGCTACCAATATGTATCTTTTTGTTTACCTTTTATTCCTGTTTCAGGTGCCATTTCCATTTTTGGTGGTTTAAAAACATAACCTATTCCCGTGTTCATTTACGACGCTGTCAGTGTCTGTGCTTTCCATGCTCTTGTATCAATCAGTAGGAAGTTTGGTGCATGGAGAGTTGTAAAAACAAAACTTTATGTTTGTTGAATGAAGTAGGGGAATTATTCTGTTTGATTTCATGTCGGGTGTGTGTGTGAGTGTGTGTGTGTGTGTGTTTATTTTGGTATAGTAGCTCTAGACTCTATTATAGTTTCCTGAGCTGCTGTACCAAAATACCACAAACTGCCTGGCTTAAAACAATTGAGGAGGATATAAGTCTGAAGATGTCAGCAGGGCTATGCTCCCTCTGAATTTGGGCTCTAGGGAAGACTCCTTCCTTGCTTCTTCCTGGCTTCTCTTGGTTGCCAGTAGTTCTTGCTGTTCATTGGTTTGTAGCTGTATCACTTTAATTTCTGCCTACATCATCATGTGGGCATCTTTCCTGTGTGTCCCTGTATCTCTCTCTCTCCTCATAAGGACACCAGTCATTTAATGTAGGGTCCTCCAAACCGTTATTTCCTCATCTTAACTTGATTACATCTGCAAAGGCCCTATTTCCAAATAAGGTAGCCTTCATAGATACTAGGGGTTAGGACTTGAACATATCTTGGGAGGACAAAATGCAACCCCCAATAATACTTATTTATGTTATTGCTTACCTACTATTCAAAAAGATATTTTTATTATAAGGTGATATAACTCTGTTATAAGGTGATTGACAAGAATAAGTAAAATTTTATTTCTTACTAGACAATGACGTAATTACTCAAAAGTTTGAAGCAGAAAAGACCCCAACATTTTCAGCATTATTATTGTTCAACATAAATGATTTTTTCTAATTTAGTATTCAGTGTGGTTCACTATATTGATTAGTAGCTGGAAATGGGGTCCTGGTAATACATACCTAAGGATGTGAAAGTGACTTTAGAATTGGGTACTTGGCAGAGTATGGAATAATTTTGAGTAGCATGATTTAAAAAAAAATCTAGATTACCTTGAACAGATTGTTAGATAAAATGTGGATGATAAAGCTTCTGCCAGTGAGGGCCTAGATAAAAGTAAGGATCATAGTGGATAAAACCTATAATGTCTTAGAGAATATCTAAATTGTCATAAGCAGACTTGGTATACATACGGTGTTTAAAGTGCTGACAAGGAGGTTTAGAAGGAAATGAGGAACACGTTACCAGAACCTGAAGGAAAAGGGATCTTTGTCATATAGTAGCGGAAATATTAACTCATTGTATCCTAAATGTAGAAAGCAGCACCTGCATGTAATGAACTTGGATATTTAGCTGAGATTTCCACACAAAGTGGTGAAGGTACAACTTGTTTTTTTCTTGCTGCTTATAGTGAAATGTGAGAGGAAAGATACAAATTGAGAGAAGAACTGTTGAAATACAAGCAATTAGTGCTTGTCAGTTTGTGAAATTACCTATCCAGATGACAGAAGGTGCTAAAATTTAGAGATTCACTATCAGAAAAGCATGCTCCGAAGTGTAAGCCAAGGGTGAGGCTGCACAACTTTTTGCTAGTGCCTTAGAAACATCAAAAGTCAGAGTATTCAGTCACATAGAGGGCTCTTTGAAGAGATTAGGCATATAACTCGTGGATTTCCTCAGCCGTCTAAGCAGAAGCCAGGAATAGAGGATATGATGTGATGATGGAAGCACCCAACAGCCATGGAACGTGAGTAGTCTCTGGAAGCTGGAAAAGGTGAGGAACTATTATTTCCCAAGAGCCTCTAGAAGGAATGCAGCCTTAGATTTTAGTCCCATAAGACCTATTTTGGATTTCTGACCTCTGGAATTTTAAAATGATAAATTTGTGCTGTTCTGAGCCACTGAGTTTGTGGCAATGTGTTATAGTAGCAGTAGAAAACTAATACAGAGTTTGGTCTATAATTGTAATGCCCTTGTCTGGTTTTGGTGTCAGGATAATACTAGCTATATGGGATGGGTTGAGAATTTCTAATATATCAAATTAGGGATACTGTTAGGTGTGTTTAATAAGAGACACTGGCCAGGCATGGTGTAATCCCAGCCTGTAATCCTGTAATCACGCCTGTAATCCCAGCACTTTGGGAGGCCAAGGCAGGAGGGTTACCCGAGGTCAGGAGTTTGAAATCAGCCTGGTCAACATGGTGAAACCCCATCTCTACTAAAAATACAAAAATTAGCCCGGTGTGGTAGTAGGTGCCTGTAATCCCAACTATTCAAGAGGCCGAGGCAAGAGAATTGCTTGAACCCGGGAGGTGGAGGTTGCAGTGAGCCGAGGTGGCGCCATTGCACTCCAGCCTGGGCGACAAGAATGAAACTCCGTCTCAAAAAAAAAACAGAAAAGAGACACTGCAGATAATAACAGTAGTGAACTGGAAGATGTATCAAAAGAAATCATTCAGCTTGGTGCAGCGGCCAACGCCTGTAATCCCAGCTCTTTGGGAGGCCGAGGCAGGCAGATCACCTGAGGTCAGAAGTTCAAGATCAGCCTGGCCAACTTGGTGAAACCCCGTCTCTACTAAAAATACAAAAATTAGCTGGATGTGGTGGTGGGCACTTGTAATCCCAGTTACTTGGGAGGCTGAGGCAGTAGAATCGCTTGAACCTGGAGGCGGAGGCTGCAGTGAGCCGAGATTGTGCCACTGCACTCCAGCCTAGGTGACAGAACAAGACTCTTGTCTCAAAAAAAAAAAAAAAGAAATGGTTCAAACTGAAGCATAGAAAGTGTGAGGAATGAAAAGAACATAAGAGCTATATGGATTGAAGTGAAAAATTCTAATGTACCTGAATTTATAGACCCAGAAAAAGAGTGAGTTGAAACATGGACAGAAACAATATTGAGAAGAAGAAAAATTTCCCAAATAGATATAAAACTTAAATCTCAATTCAACATGTAAGAAACTGTTAACTTCATGCAAGATATGCATGCCTGGAACTGTCATGGTAAAAGTGATTAAAAACAAAGACAGCTGGCCACTGTGGTGCATCCCTGAAATCCCAGCTACGCAGGAGACTGAAGTGGGAGGATTACTTGAGCCCATGGGTTCCAGACCACCTGGGCAACATAACAAGACCTCATCCCCCCAAAAAGAAAAATTCTAAGGCAATGAAAGAATATTAAAGCCAGCCACAAAGGAAGTGACCTATATTTTCAAAACAGCAGCAATAACACTAACAACTGGCCTTTCAACAGAAACTATATGAGCCAGGGAATTACAACTTTAAAAATGCTAGAAGACAGTAAGCAACAAGGTAAAGCAAAACAATCTGTCATCCTAGAATTTTATACCCATTGGAGAACATTTTCTACAATTCTTCACCCACCTTGCCCATCGCCTCTCAAAAATCAGTGATGGCAGAATAACAAGTATGGGATTAACTCTGTTGTCTCTATAGTTAAAAACTCTAGACAAAATATATTTTAAAAGTTACTTAAAGGCTTTGAAGAGCAACTAGAAACAGGCAGAAATTTAAAGACAGAATTTAAGAGGATTTAAACACAGAATTAATAGAATCACATTCAGTGATATTAGTGTCTATACAGCTTTTCTCGGGGGTATCCCTCAGTCTTTGTTAGGTGGTAGAGGTAGAACTCAGACTTAAGCCACAGTCGTATTGGCTGGAGTTTGATTCTTCCATACTGGCTGGAAAATAGGAATTCAGAAAGGAGGAAGCCAAAGCTGAGCAGCTCCAAATTCTGCACATCTCTAGCTTGCTCCAGAATTATTAAACATAGGCATTTTGAGAGCAAGCATGAACTAGAATGCTGAAAAAGCTGTACAGAGATTTCAGCTGCTGTCTATCACAGAGAGCATACAATTTGCAGTTTTAGTCCTGCTCAGAGATAAAAATCTTGACTTTTCCATTGGAATTCCAAATGGCCCATACATTGAGAGTAAAGGCTACATCCTAATGAAGATTCACTTGAGAAATAAGGGAACAATCAAAATAGACTTTTCTTTTTTTTTTTTTTTTGGACAGAGTCTCGCTCTGTAGCCCAGGCTGGAGTGCAGTGGCCGGATCTCAGCTCACTGCAAGCTCCGCCTCCCGGGTTTACGCCATTCTCCTTTCTCAGCCTCCCGAGTAGCTGGGACTACAGGCGCCCGCCACCTTGCCCGGCTAGTTTTTTGTATTTTTTAGTAGAGACGGGGTTTCACCGTGTTAGCCAGGATGGTCTGGATCTCCTGACCTCGTGATCCACCCGTCTCGGCCTCCCAAAGTGCTGGGATTACAGGCTTGAGCCACCGCGCCCGGCTCAAAATAGACTTTTCTAATAAATTACAAAAGCCTCTAAGTTCAGGGTGATCTACCAATAATTTCCCTATCTGCTAAACAAAACTAAACACACTCCAAGGAAGATTTTAAAATCAAGAGTTGATACAACATCTCATCAACAATGTACAGTGTACGGCAGGGCATGGTGGCTCACGCCAGTAATCCCAGCACTTTGGGAGGCTGAGGCAGGCAGATCACCTGAGCTCAGGAGTTCAAGACCAGCCTGGCTAACATGGTGAAACCCCATCTCTACTAAAAAATATGATAATTAGCCAGCAGTGGTGGTGCACCTCTGTAATCACAGCTACTTGAGAGGCTGAGGCAGGAGAATTGCTTGAACCTGGGAGGCAGAGGTAGCAGTGAGCTGAGATCGTGTCACTGCACTCCAGCCTGGGTGACAGAGTGAGACTCCATCTCTGTAGTTAAATGAATGAATGAATGAATGAATGTAAGTGTATTAAATACCCCATTTGAAAAGCAAACATTTGTCAGAATAGAGAAAAAAGCAAAGCCCAAGTATATGCTGTCTAAAGAGATGTGCTTGAAAGAAGAAAGCTGCTATCCCTATTTTTTAATATATGACAAAGTTGAATTATGGACCAGCATGTAAGAAATAAAAAGGATTATTAAATATGAAAGTATTAATTCAAAATAAGTCATAACAATCCTAAATTTGTATTTAATAGCTTCAAAGTACATGAATCAGAAATCTATAGAACTGAAGGAGGAACTAGATAAATCTACATTTCAGTAATAGATTATAACATTTATCTCTCAGTAAATGAAACAAAGTGAGGATGTAGGAGATTTTGGGAGAAACACCCAGAACTTCTAGATGGACCTAACCAACATTTATGGAACACAGCATTTACCAACTACAGGATGTACTTCTTTCCAAAGAAAGATAGACAGTATGCTGGCCTATATAAAAGTCTCAGTACATTTTAAAAACATTAAAATCAAACCCAGTATGTTCTGTAACCACATCAGAATTAAATTGGAAATCATTAGCAGTAAGATCTAGAAAACCCCACATATTTGTAACTTAAGCAGTATAGTTTTAAATAACACATGGATGAAAGAGGAAATCACAATACGTACTACACAATATATTTCGAAATGATAATCCCAGCATGACATGGGATATAGCTAATGCTTATAATTAAGAGATTTATCAGTGATGTACACTCCCACCTCAGGAAACTAGAAAAACAGGAGTACAGTTAACCAAAAATCAGAAGCAAGGAATTATTACAGTAAGAGCCAGAATCAGTTAAATATAAAACAAAAAATCAAAGAGAAACAAGAAAACCATATATTTTGTCTTTTGAGACTTTTAGTAAAATTGATGAACTATGAAAATTTTTCAAGAAAAAGGGAAACCACACAGCACATTGTTGTAATTTCTATAGAATAAAATAAGGTACTATTATAACCAACTTTATGCCAGCGTATTTGATAATTTAGATATAATGGATAAATTCCTTGACAAATACAACCAGAATCAACATAAGAAGTACATGTGTACGTTTGTATGTGTACACTCATGAAGAATTATAATCAAACATACTGAATTTTTAGTCTGTTTTCATTTGTAAGTACCATGACTGTGATTTTGAAATCACGTTAATCCTATGTTTCTCCAATTTAAACTGAAACTCATATTTTGTTCTTAAATTGGAGCATTTGACTACTTTAGAAAGTATCATGTCTTCTCAGTTTGCTGTGACATATAATGAGTATCAGAATTAAAGGCATCACATTGTTGGAATATCATGATTCCTAAAAGCCTGTGATATAAATCATATCTTATTTATCGAATTTAAAATAATTTATTTGTGTTTTAGACATTATTCAAAGTGAGCACGTCCTTATTAGACTCTTTCCTTTGGGAAATTGAGCTGTTTTATCCTAGTATATCAGAAATAAAATTTCTTTGTTGTTAATTGAGCAAAAGCATGCTTTTATGTACTTTTCAGTTTTGACTTTCAAAATGTGGCATAATACAAGCGAATATAATATATGGTTTAAAAAATTAAATCCATGTTAATACCCTAAAGCAGTTCTGTTTGAATAGTTATACTTTTGACATTTGTATAAAAATCAGTTTATATTCTACTGTATGCTGCTTTTGCTGAACCTGTATTCTGAAATTAATCTTTGTTGATGCCTAAACCTGTGGTGGTCTCATTTGTATAGCTGTAATATACTTGCTGTATATTTAACTATACCTTATTGTGTGTATTAGTCTTAATGTTGACTGGCATTTTTATTGTTTCCAGTTGTTAGCTATAATGAAAAAGGTTGTGAAGAATTGTATATGTATCTAATATAAGACTTAAAAATTTTTATCTGTGTAATGGGAGATGGGAAATGATACATGATAGTGGTTTTCATTTGCTCTTCTGATATTCATGAAGTTGAGGGTCTTTCGCTTGTTGAAGAATTTGAATGCTGTAAATCAAGAGTTCTTTCGTTTTGCTGTCTTTTTGCTTTCATTGTATTTGGTTTGTTTTGTGGCATCATTTGAGAAATAGTCTTTTAAGAAAACACTTAAGTAAACACTTGAGGTAAAGTTCTGCTTCTATAACAATGTTCTATTATCATATAGGCACTTTTATATGAAACTATCTTTTGTGCAGCATAAAATAATAAATATAGAGGTACTTTAAAAAAAGTTACCTGTAAAGGGTTTCAAAATGGTTTAGAAGTGAAAAGTGCCCAAATTCCCATGTTCTCACAATTAGGCTATTTCATATTGTCATTCTGGCCTAAGCTTCAGTAGTCAAAATAGGCTGGCATCGAAATTGCAGCTGTTTTATTCAGTGTACAGATGTATGTAGTGTAGCTGTAGATCAACTTAAGACGGATCTAAGCTGTAGATCAGCTTCAGACTTTTACATATATATGTAAAAGAAGGAAGAAATAGTGAACTAATCACAGAGTTACTTCACCGTTCATTTAAAAATCACCCCACAGAGTTACCTATCGATCTACTACTGAAGTCATACAGGAAGCTTAGGCATCATCCTGATGTTTTAAGTGAATAATGAGATAACTCTGTGATTAGCTCACTATTCATTTCATTATATGTTTGCATGTAGAACTTCAAATTAGTATTTAGTGAAGTACGTTATTCATGGCCAAGCAAGATAAATAGAATATTTCTAAATGAAATGAAAAGTTTGTAGGGCAACCATGCTCAGAATTGGAGTTTCTCTTTGAATTATTAAGATTAAATTATAGACACGATGCTCCTTTACTCCTAAGTGCAGGAAACTTCTCTTAGATAACCACAGTACAATTATACAAATCAGAAGTTCACACTGACTCTACTATGGACTGCAAATCTTATTCAGCTTTTGCCAGTTGTCCTTCTAAAGTTCTTTAGGGCCAAAGAAAAAGAAATCAATTTTCTTTTGCATGGTTTGAGGGTACTAGTAGTTCAGGATCATCTGTTGCATTTTGTTGTCTTATAGTCTTCAATCTGTAACAATTCTACTATCTTTATTTATCTTTCATGGCCTCGATGGCCTTGACAGTTTTCAAGAATACATGCTAGAAATTATGTCTATATATATATTTACACATAGGCACATACATGTATTTTCTAGGTATGTTTGCTGATAGGACCCAGAGGCAGACTCCCCCTAGTGATGTATGCGCATATATCTTCCATATTGTCATTTTAAAAATTTTCCACTGAAAGAAATCAGGGCTCCTTGGAGAAATTCTAGTATTGAGGAAGGGTATATAGACATGAGCCTAGAATGTTTTGCTGTGTTAGAAAGCAAGGAAATGCTTAAAGAACGATGGGGGACAAGTTAATAGCAAGCAGGATCCTGCTTTAATGGGATCTCAGAGACCAATTCTTATTTCCCTCAAGCATCAGAATTAATAATGATAGTAACAATATACCTATGTAATAAAGTTAGAGTCCATATTGATAGAAATTAATGGACAAGAAGGGAATGTTTTTCCTTATAGCTTGGTGCCAATTAACAAATGTAGAAGGAATGACAGAATTAGAAAGTCTCCTTTTGATAACCACAGTAGTAATAATTGTTTTAGGAACAATTATAAAAATGCTAAGACTAACTGTTCAAAAGTTTGGCGAGAAATAAGGTATTTAAATAGTCTCAAGAATCTGCATACAGATACTTAACTAATTATAAAGGTGGAAATAACTAATATAGCGACACTTGGCAGACGCTGCCATACTTCGGATGTCATGTGCGTCTTGATGTTTGGTAGCTTGTTTTTATTTTTATTTATTTTTTTGAGATCATTTTGTCACCCATGCTGGAGTGCAGTGGTGTGATCTTGGCTCACTGCACCTTCCACCTACTGGGTTCAGGTGTTTCTCCTGCCTCAGCCTCCTGAGTAGCTGGGACTACAGGCACGCGCCACCACACCTGGCTAATTTCTGTATTTTTAGTAGAGACGGGGTTTCACCATGTTGACCAGGCTGGTCTCAAATTCCTGACTTCAAGTGATCCACCTGCATCAGCCTCTGAAAGTGCTGGGATTACAGGCGTGAGCCACTGTGCCCAGCCGGAAGCTTGTTTTTTAAAGCAAGTAGTTTTATTAGTCCTTATAGTCCTATATTTTAAAGAGATCATTTAAAGTTAAGTCTTTACTTTGAATCTGATGTTGAAAATGTGAACAGCCAAGCGAACACTTTTCTTTTTCTTTAGGTGAGTGCTCCAGTTGTAACATCCACCACTCAGGAAAAGCCAAAGGATAGCGATCAGTTTGAATGGGTGACCATTGAACAGTCAGGGGAGTTAGTTTATGAAGCACCAGAAACTATCGCGGCTGAACCTCCACCTATCAAGTCAGCAGTACAGACCATGTCCCCCATACCTGCCCATTCTTTGGCTGCTTTTGGATTATTTCTTCGTCTTCCGGGCTATGCCGAAGTGCTACTGAAAGAGAGAAAACATGCCCAGTGCCTTCTTCGATTGGTATTGGGAGTAACAGATGATGGAGAAGGAAGTAAGTGTTTAGTATTAAATTTGTCAGTACATATGTGAATAGATTGTGTAAAGTTATCCGGATCATTGCCTGTTGTTCATCATTTATTTCCTTCATAGTTAAGCTGTTAGATGATTTGTTGTAGGTGGTGTTGTAGGTGGCTAGTTATAATAAATCCTAAAGAATCTTCATTTTCATCTCTGTATTCATTCAAAAATTATTTTCCTTGTGCTGACAAAACTGTTGGGCATCACTGGAGGGATTTAAACATGAAGCAATTATTTAGAGCTACCCCCAAGTAGCTAATGTTCTCCAGTAATAGTAACAAGGGATGTATATAAACATGTAGACTTAGCAAGTTATAAAATCCCTTGAGCACTCTTGAGTGCAGTATTATGGAGAAACACACGTGTGAGAGAGATTATTTATTTACTACACAGCAGTGTGAATGAAGTGGGATAGTAGTTTTTAGTGGGGCCTTGAAGGACAGGTTAGATTTAGGTTGCGATGAGTTATCTCAGAAAGAAAATAAATGGAATGAGCAGTGTTTCCAGGTTAAAATCTGTGAGAGGGGATAAGTTAGCTGATGAAAATTTGTACAAAAGGCAGCATTGTGAGCATTTTAAAAGCTAATATTGGTAACAGAGCATGGAAAAAACTTGCTTAAGAACTTTAGATTTTATTTTGAATAGCAATAAAGGCTTATTAAAATGTGTTAAGATCAGTAATGTGTTGAATATAGTTTTTTTTAGAAAATGAATCTGGTAGGAATACTTAGATTAAAGAGAACAGAATCAGGAAAATAATGCCATAATATGTATTAATGATAATATAGAATAATAAGAGAAGGCTGTGATGATTGTTTCCTTTGGGTTGGCATTGTTACTTAATAGAAAGAAAAACTGAAGAATTACAGGATAGCCTCACAAGTAGATTTTCATTTGGGTGACCTCTACATTTTCACTTACTGTTTATTCTCTTAATATTTACTAGACAATTAATACTTCCTTATGTTATTTTAAAATCACAAGGTTTTGATTCGGTTGATTTCTTTCACATGCCGTTTAGAAAGAATAAACTGTTAAGTCCTGTACTACAAAGTATATTTAATCTAATAAAACTATATGAATTTATTTGTAGATCTCGAAACTCTGAAGCTATCAAATATTCAAAGTAAATATTTTTTCCTTTATATTTTCCTAACAACAAAAATCCCTCATAAATGTTGGCATATAAGTGGGCCCGTGTAGTTTAAACCTTTGTTATTCAGGTATCAACTGTATTTATTTTAGTAGGTCAGGAATTTCTAATTGCTTGATCTGATTTTTTTTTAAGTAGGTAGAGGGGTAAGAACCATTTTTTTATTGATACAATAGTTGTACATATTTATGTTAAACATATGATATTTTGATACAGACATAGAATGTGTAATAAGAACCATATTTCAACACTCTGTTACTACAGTGTTAAAGTAGGTGTAACCCTAAACAGAAAAGGAAAAAAAAAAGCCTTTCTGTAATTTCACACTATTTTTAATGCATATACAATGAATTTTTATTAAAAAGCATAGTTATGATATCTCTTTCTGTAATAATTGTTTCGTGTACCATCCACGTAGCATTGCTTTCTTTGCATGTAATACCCCTTCCTGGCTAGAACACAGTAGAACACTGTTGGGAAAAAAATAGTTTTACTTGTTCATTATCTGTTCATGGTTAAAGCTACTCCCAAGGAAAGCAGTTACTTTCTTACTGTTTAAGATACTACTAATGCTTCTTTTCTGTTGTTCAGGTTTTAGTTTAAATTCTATTTGTAATAATTTTGACATAATCTATAGCTATTATCATACATGTTTCCACTTTTTTTGAGGTTTATGTGTACTGTGTCTGACAGTTTTTCCTGACACTTATTCGTGATTAAATTTTAAGATATTACTGTTCTATTTGTAGTATTTGGTTTTTAAATAATTTAGTGATATTATTTTGTATTACAGTGTCATTACTAATTTATGATCCTGTATGTAGCTTCTTATTGTGCTTTAACTGTTTTTAATCTTGAAGTCCTCTTCTTTTTTCAATCTAGGTCATATTCTTCAATCTCCATCAGCCAATGTGCTTCCAACCCTTCCTTTCCACGTCCTTCGTAGCTTGTTTAGCACTACACCTTTGACAACTGATGATGGTGTACTTCTAAGGCGGATGGCGTTGGAAATTGGAGCCTTACACCTCATTCTTGTCTGTCTCTCTGCTTTGAGCCACCATGCCCCACGAGTTCCAAACTCTAGCGTGAATCAAACTGAGGTAGGTTCACTTTTAATTATTTCAGTTATTAAAAAAACTAGTTTTAATTAGGGAGTACAGAGTAAAGTTTTTTTCTGAAGTAATCTTTCAGAGACTTGGGTGTTCCATTTTCACATCTAAGAGGATATTTAAAACATTATAAATTAATTGCTTTCTCTGTTAGTCTCCTTCAGTAAACCAAAAAGAAACCTATCTACTTGAAAAACAGAAAGGATTTAAGTGCTTAATAAATCCCATTTGCCAAGATATGCTGAATTTATACTGTGATCCTTCTTCCTTTCCTTTTTGAACTTTTAAGAATAATACTATAGCATGGGGGTTGTGGGTGGGGATCTAGCCAGTGCAGTAAGACAGGAAATTCAAGAAAGAAAGAGAAAAATTCCTCATTATTTCAATATGATTTAATTGTATTGTAGAAAATACCAGAATAGGCTGGGCGCTGTGGCTCACGCCTGTAATCCCAGCACTTTGGGAGGCCGAGGCGGGTGGATCACCTGAGGTCAGGAGTTCGAGACCAGCCTGGCCAACATGGTGAAACCCCCGTCTCTACTAAAAATGCAAAAATTCACTGGACGTGGTGGCGGGCGCCTGTAATCCCAGCTACTCGGGAGGCAGAGGTGGGAGAATCACTTGAACCCAGGAAGTGGAGGTTGCGGTGAGCCGAGATTGCGCCATTGCACTCCAGACTGGGCGACAAGAGTGAAACTTTGTCTCCAAAAAAAAAAAGAAGAAAAAAAAATACCAAAATAATTAGTGGCATAAGTGAGTTTATTAATGATACAACATGGGGTCAGTATATAAAAATTAGTTAATGTTTACATACTAGCAACAGACACATAAAATGAGCTTTATAAAGATATATTTTAGAATAGCCCCAAAAATAGAAAATGTCTATGAATAAATCTGAAAAATATGTATAATACCTCTTTATGAATTTTTTGGCCAGGCATGGTAGCTCATGTCTGTAATCCCAGCACTTTGGGAGGTGGAGGCAGACAGATCACTTAAGGTTAGGATTTCGACACCACCCTGGCCAGCATAGTGAAACTCCATCTCTATTAAAATTACAACAATTAGCCAGGCCTGGTGGCTCACACCTATATTCCCAGCAACTTGGGGGGCTGAGGCAGGGGAATCTGTCTTTGCTCATGTATATCTTCGATGGGTTAGATATGATAGTGCAATGGTATTATTTCTTCCCAGATCAATCCTTAAGTTTGATACAATTCCAGGTTCATTTTGGAGGAAGTTTACAAACCATTTATAAAATGTATATAAACATGCAAAGGGTTAGGAATAGTTGAGATACCCTTTTACTATATCCTAAAAAGATCTGCTCATATCTCAATTCAATTTTGAGTCATTGACTTTTTAGGTTCTAGGGTGGTTTATCCCTTCTTTTCTTGATAAATATTTTAAAATATTTATTTATTTATTCTTAAATATAAGCACTTTGTCTCCATTTACCCCTTCCCCCAGCCCCTGGCAATTAGCAATCTGCATTCTGTCTCCATGCATTTACCTATTCTGGATATTGCATATAAATTGAATCATGTAATGTATTGTTCCTTGCGTCTGTCTTCTTTCATTTAGTGTAATGTTTTCTAGGTTTATTCATGTAGCATATATCAGTATTTCATTTCTTCTTATGGCTGAATAAATATCCTGTTTGTTGATCCATTCATCTGTTGGTTGGTATCTGGGCTATTTTCTAATAATCTTTTAGTTTAAATGGTGCTACTGAAAACGTGTGTCTATTTCAGTACCAGTTTTTAATCTGTTTTAGTACTAGAAGTGGAATTTCTGGGCCGTACAGAAAATCTGTGTTTAGTTTTTTTGAGCAACCACCAAACTGTTTTCCATAGTAGCTGCATCATTTTACTTTCCCAGTGATAAATATTTTTGAAGATAAGTAAAAACAAATTGTAATGGATTTTCATTTTTTGTTATTTTAAGCCACAGGTGTCTAGCTCTCATAACCCTACATCAACAGAAGAACAACAATTATATTGGGCCAAAGGAACTGGCTTTGGAACAGGCTCTACAGCTTCTGGGTGGGATGTGGAACAAGCCTTAACTAAACAAAGGCTGGAAGAGGAACATGTTACCTGCCTTCTGCAGGTATATTTTGTAAACTTGATATTGTTCATAATAATGTGTTTTTTTGTATTATTTTAAAATATTGATAACTAATCCAACTATCCTCAGCTATGTTTATGCCCACTTGTGGTTCTTCTTCCCAGTGCATTCTAAGATACCACTGGATAAAGATTGTTCTTGCTTACTTGTAACTCTGTATTTCTTCGCTCTCAACTAGCTTCTTCACTGAGAGGAAAGTGGCAGGGATGAAATTATCTAGTAGCTGGAAGATGCATCTTCCTACAGGCATTTTCTTGTTTAATGTGTTGTATGTGGGCTTTTTTTTTTTTTAACTGTTACTTTTTTATATGCATTTTGGTTGCTTACTTTTTTTTTTTTTTGAAACGGAGTTCACTCTGTGGCTCAGGCTGGAGTGCAGTGGCGTGATCTCGGCTCACTGCAACCTCCACCTCCCAGATTCATGGTTGCTTACATTTTTAAAGATAACTTTTCGGCTGGGCGTGGTGGCTTACGCCTGTAATCCCAGCACTTTGAGAGGCCAAGGTGGGTGGATCACCTGAGGTCAGGAGTTTGAGACCAGCCTGGCCAACATGGTGAAACCCTGTCTCTACTAATAATACAAAAATTAGCTAGGCTTGGTGGCAGACACCTGTAATCCCAGCTACTGAGGAGGCTGAGGCAGGAGAATCACTTAAACCCAGGAGACAGAGGTTGCAGTGAGCCAAGATTGCGCCATTCCACTCCAGCCTGGGCGACAAGAGTGAAACTCTGTCTCAAAAAAATAAATAGATAAATAACTTTTCTAGATTCAGGCAAGTTGAACAAGAATAGAAAGTCTTTATACCACAGAAATGTATAGGGGAAATACTTAATGAAAAGATTAGCTTTGCTTCCTGCATCAGCTAATTGAAGTTGGTTAACACGTTGAATGTGTCTTCTGCAACTCTAGAATGCTCCTTCTAGTATAAAGTTATAAGATTTTGTTACCCTCAAACTGTGAATTGAGTCTATTCAATAAAATATGTAAATAATACAGAGTTGATACTATGTTTTTATGTTCGCAGTTGTATTGTTTTTATATGTCTAGTCATATATAATGTACCATCCTTTGTAAGCAACACTCTCAGACAAAACAGATCCTTCCCTTTTGAAAATTTAAACAGTTATTTTAAAACATCATATAAGGTACTGTTTAAGTAGAAAATTTGTACTGCTAGTATTCAGATTGAATTTCTAACCTACCATAAAAATTTTTGAAGTATGTGAGACTGAAATCCAAATTAATTTCAACAATTTTTAGGTTCTTGCCAGTTACATAAATCCTGTGAGTAGTGCGGTAAATGGAGAAGCTCAGTCATCTCATGAGACTAGAGGGCAGAACAGTAATGCCCTTCCTTCTGTACTTCTTGAGCTTCTCAGTCAGTCCTGCCTCATCCCAGCCATGTCATCTTATCTACGAAATGATTCAGGTAAATAATCCCTGTAAATGTCTTTGTGGATGAATAATTTTGTTTGCTTATTTTATCGTTGTCTAATAGTAAGCTTCAATTGAAATACTTGATGGATTTATTTCCTCAAAAGTATTCTGGAAATATTTGATTGTTTTTTTGGTGCCCTTAATTTGATACTGTGTCATCACTTACCCTAGAACACAGAATAAAAGTTTCATTATTCCTTTGTCTTTATCTGTGAAAGGTGAAAGTACACTTTTTCCTTTTAATTATCTGTAACTGAAAATAATAGGACAAAGTCTAACAACTTCATGACATCATTCTGATCTGAATATAGTCAAAGTTCTGTGGATTTTAAATATTTTTGTCAAACAAAATTGCTGACAGTAGTTATTTTTGAAGAAAAGCAGATACATAAGTCACTCAAGTCCATAGGTACTTCATAAGAAGATGATTAATTTCTTAAAATTCAATAATAAAAGTACTGTAGCTACTTATTTTGCCAGTATACAGCTGATTATTGATTGAATAATATAGTTTATTATTTCTTTGGTTATGGAATTATCATCTAAGAAATGTATTCTTTTCCTAAGAATAGAAAGTTACATGTTCAGAAATGCATAGATATTTCCAAGAGAAACAAGCAGTTAACAGCTACTTCTTTCAGCCAAAACCTTTATTATTTATTATTTCAACTCTGTTCTCATATTCGTATCTCTGTATTTATATTCTTACTCATGAAAATAAACATGTATGTATTTCATTAATTTATTAAGGAAGAGTAGATAAGGAAAACAATGGGAGTGAATCTTGGTAGTCTATTTTGTGGTTGGTAGCAGCTAAGTGACACAATTGGATGTTTGGTAAAAGTGTTAGTATTTGAAGGGATTATTGCCCATATTCCCCAGTATCAGGAGGATTGTTGTCCTTTAAAAATGTGCCATTTCCCAGTCTGTCTCAAACTCTTTCATGACAGTATTAGACTGATTTTTTTGTTTGTTTAGATTGACTTGTTTGGTACATCAGATTGGTCTTTTTAAAAAAGTAGATGTCAAATGCATATAGTATATTTTTTGATTAAAATGTTTGAGACTATAATTTTAATTTTAGATTATATAGAACAATTGAATAGGGTGAGATGGGTTTCTCTTTATCTCACGTCTCTATTATTGAAGTATTATTTTCTTAATCCTTATACTTTGAAGACCTGACCTACCAAAAATTTTAAATTTCTGTTTTAGTCTAAAATTGACTCTCTTATAACACTGAGCTTTTACCTTTATGATTCATTGTCAAAAAGGAAATCCAGGATTATTTACAATAATTGCTATTCATGTAAGTGCACTTCCTGGAAAGGTGTGTATGTTAACAAACTGATTTTTGGTAAATGTATGGAATTGCAGAGACTTAGATATTGTATCTTGGAACTATTTTAGAAATTTAATGTGACAGATCAAAGTTTGACCTTTCTTTTGTGATTCGTTATTTTCCTGGAAAAAAGAAATTTCTTTCATTAGGTTTAGATGTTCTTGAATTTGGTACCTTGTCCAGTGGTTAATTCTAATTGATATATTTGGATGTGGTAACAAATACTTATTTTGAGATATAATACCTTGTATTAAGATAAAATGATGTAACTTGTATTCGGTAGGTTAAATGGTAGCATGCCTCCTAAATGATATTAAATATGGATTGTTTTCAGGAAAACACAGCTTAATATTATATAAGTAAAAATGAGTATGTAAGTAAATATATAATTATATAAGTAAATATAAATATAAAAATGTAAATATATAGTTATCAGTTTTGGTTAGAATAGTAATAATTAATTTTTTAAGTGGCTGTTATTTATTTATTTGAGACAGGGTTTCCCTCTGTCACCCAGGCTGGAATGCAGTGGCACGATCTTGGCTTGCTGCAACCTCCACTTCTCAGGCTCAAGCAATTCTCTTGCCTCAGTATCCTGAGTAGGTGGGATTACAGACATGCAGCAGCATGCCCGGCTAATTTTTGTATTTTTGGTAGAGATGGGGTTTCACTATGTTAGCCAGGCTGGTCTCAAATCCTGGCCGGTGTGATCTGCCCACCTTGGCCTCCAAAAGTGTAGATATACAGACGTGAGCCAACACACCCTGCCTTAAGTGGCATTTAAAAATCTGAACAAATTATCTAGCCAGAGTCTTCCTTAGACTTAGTAAAATTTCTATTTTGGAAAATTAGTCTAAAGTTTATTTTCCAATTTTTTCTTTTTTTTTTTTTTGAGACGGAGTCTCGCTCTGTCGCCCAGGCTGGAGTGCAGTGGCCGGATCTCAGCTCACTGCAAGCTCCGCCTCCCGGGTTTACGCCATTCTCCTGCCTCAGCCTCCCGAGTAGCAGGGACTACAGGCGCCCGCCACCTCGCCCGGCTAGTTTTTTGTATTTTTTAGTAGAGACGGGGTTTCACCGTGTTAGCCAGGATGGTCTCGATCTCCTGACCTCGTGATCCGCCCGTCTCGGCCTCCCAAAGTGCTGGCTGGGATTACAGGCTTGAGCCACCGCGCCCGGCCCAGTTTTTTCATTTGTGTATATAGTATTATTTTTGGCAATGTGGGAGTTGAGGTATATGACAGGATCCACTCCACAATCTTTTACTTCATTTAGTTGTCATGTCCTTTTCTTCTCCTGTAATCTGGAAGAGTTCCTAGTCTACCTTTATCTTTCATAATACTGATATTTTTATAGAATATAACCATTTATTTTATAGAATATTGTACAGATTGGTCTGTAAGTGTGAGAGTAGTCCTCATAATTTTGCCTGAGATAATTGTATTCAAGGGATGACTTGCTTATATTGCTAGCAGATGATATACAAAAACACCAGCCTAATATAATAATCTTTTCTGAGAACTTTAGAAAATAATGCCCATTTTCATTCTATAACATGTTTTTAAATGATTGGTGAGCAAGACAAGAAAATATAGGGAACATACTAGTTTATGCCCTACTTTCAGTGCAGAGATCATTTGTGGTTTCTGTCCCACACCCTTTTTGCCCTTATTTTCTGGCTACAGGTATACGTTAGATACTTTGTAATCTTCAAACTTTTATGTTTAATGACTATAGATTGAGATGAATACCAGAGTCTGCTCCTCATTTTAATAAAACCTTCAAGTTCTCATATTAATAAGTTTACTATGTAGCTGGTTAGCTAAGTCTGTTTTATTTAAATAGAAGTTTAAAAACTGGCCTGAACATATTAAATGATAATACTAAGCTGGCCATAAGGATCAACAATAATTGCTCATAAAATTGATCTTCAGTTTTAGTTCTGAACATCTTTGCATCAGAGGTCAAAAGAGAATGTTGTTAGTTGTAAAATTATTACCAGAATAGAGGAAGCATACAAGCTCCTTAGGGGAAAGGACAACCTTTTTTCCATTACTAACTTGTCACAATTCTACAACTGAGACACAGATCCTATTCTCCAGAGGCAGGCACTGATTATATTTAGTGATTTAATCATTAAGTATGTTTAGCCATTAAATAGTTGCCTAAGAACTTTTTACTTGCATAATAATGGCTGTACCATTATTTAACCTAATTTACTTTTAGATTGTTATTTTATTTGTAAAATTTAAAATTATTAGATGCTTTTGGGAACATTTATGTATCCAGAGTTTTATACATTTAGTATTCTTAAGATAAACTCCTGGCCAGGCACGGTGGCTCACACTTGTAATCCCAGCACTTTGGGAGGCCGAGGCGGATAGATCACCTGAGGTTGGGAGTTCGAGACCAGCCTGACTAACGTGGAGAAACCCCATCTCTACTAAAAAAATAAATAAATAAAAAATAAAAAAATTCAAAATTAGCTGGGTGTGGTGGCGCATGCCTGTAACCCCGCTGCGTGGGAGGCTGGGGCAGGATAATTGCTTGAACCCAGGAGGCGGAGATGGCACCGTGTTGAGCCGTGATGGCACCATCGCACTCTAGCCTGGGCGACAAGAGTGAAACTGTCTCAAAAACAAAAAAAGATAAATTCCTGATATTTCATCTTTTTGAATTCACTGTTTCTAGCATAAAATTTTTATGACTTAATGGTAGTTTTCCTGCTATTTTGACATCTTTTTGTAGGTCTTAAAATGGGTGGAGAGGAAAATTTAGATATGTAAATGAATGGAGACTTATTTTTTATTTTATTTTTGAGACGGAGTCTCATTCTGTTGCCCAGGCTGGAGTGCAGTGATATGATCTTGGCTCACAGCAACCTCTGCCTCCCAGGTTCAAGCAATTCTCATGCCTCAGCCACCCGAATAGCTGGGACTACAGGCGCCCGCCACCCGCCTTGCTAATTTTTTTTGTGTTTTTAGTAGAGACGGTTTCACCATGTTGGCCAGGCTGTTCTCGAACTCCTGACCTCAAATGATCCACACCCCTCGGCCTCCCAAAGTGCTGGGATTACAGACAGACATGAGTGACCACCCGGCCTGTAAATGAATGGAGACTTTTAAAAAAGTGTTTGGTGGCATTACAGCAGAAACATAAATCTTCATATTTAGGCTAAATTAATCAGATTTATCAAAGGTTAACATCATGGTTCCAGTTACTCAAAATAGTAAGTTTGATGCTTTAATAATTTGTTTCTTATTGCTTATTAAAATAAAGACATATGTTAGTGTTCTAGATAGGAAAATACATTAATTATTTGCTCATTTTAATTTATTTCTCAACATTTTCACTTCCACTTTTCATAACAAATGGTATTCTGGAAGTTGCATTTTGTATACCAGAATCGTTTTTTCTCCAGCCGCTGTAAGAATGGAGTTACCCCACTGGCCACTAGATGGAGTTCCTGTTTCATTTTTAGAAGTATTTGGTAACATTCAAATGTTAATGTTAACAGGCAGAATGTTACTTTAGAGACCCCAGCCTTCTGTTTTAGAAAATGATATATTCCTTTTTTTAGAAACAGCATATTAAAACTCAGCACACATTAAATTATTTGCCATTAACTTAGTGAGGTATGCTACAAATTCTTA